AAAAAAATCGTGTTCATCGGCACGCCAAAGTTGCTCCAAAACAGTACTAATTTTTGTTTTGGAGCAATTAACTTGCGTTTCGAAGCAATTTTCGTTTTGCCCGATGAACACGCCATGAATTTTTTTGAAATTTGAATTTTACTTTCGATCTTCTTTGAAATTGATTCTTTGTGAACTATGAAAAAAAGAAAATTTCCAGGAAGAGGAAGTTTGCAACCAATGCCAAGCCACCGCCGCCCAGGCACACCAGTTCTTCGCCAGCCAGGAATCCTTCAAGAGCGTTAGTTTATCTTCTGTTTTCTGTATTTTATGGAGTAAACTTTTAATTCAGATTATGTAAAAAGAAAGCACGATTTTAGGCCAAGGCTGTTTTGGGCGAACACATCTGCAGTGCCTTCGGAGCTCACAACAACGCTGTTGGTTTTTTCAGTATTGAAATATTTTTCAACAGAAAAAAATATCTGTGAAGTTTAAAATAATCAGTTAAAATCATTGTATGTTACCGGTTTTTAAAATAGTTCAATGGCGCTTGAGGATTGACCCGATTTCGACTATTTTTAAAGTTAATTTTATAAAAAGTATTTTCAGTGCAACGAGTTCGCAAACCTCGCCATCCCGGCCGTTTTCGGTGAACTCGCCTTGATCTTCGGCAACACTGCCGCGGTATTAAAATTCTACTTTTACTTTAAAAAAAATCATTTTTAGGCTTGCAACGACCTCGGATTCTGCCGCACTGGTGGAGCCCCGGTAAGAATATTTTTCATGTTCAAAAAACAAATGTATGTTTTCAGATCAGCCGCCCAGTCATCACTCAGCCTCTCGCTTCGATCTGGCAGAAGGCCGGAACCGTTCAGGGAGGACAGGTGAAACAAATTTCTCAAAGCTTCGATTTAGACATTTTGATCTTCAAAAGGATAGCAAATCGTGTAAATTTCAGCAAATGAAGTGCATAGAACAAAAAAAGAAGTAAGAACGAGATAGAATGCGAACTGAAGAGACGTCAGAACGGTTAGAAAGTCCTCGCTTCTCTGACGTCTCTTCAGGCTTCTGTTGATCTCTCACTTCCGAATTTCAGGAGCTATTTTTTCGTTTTTTGGCTACAGTAATCCTCAACGGTACCTTTCAGGAGGAGAGCTAGTTACCAAATACTGAGCTTACTTGACTAGTGATATTCGAGTTAAATTTCGATTTTCTAGCAACTGATGAGCTGCTTCGAGTGCACCCTTTCCGTCGACGCTCTTCTGGAAGAGATGACCAACAACCGTGTTCGTTTTTTTCTTATTTAAAGAATAATCCACTGAGATGAGGCTTAATCTAACGGAGACTTGAAAATCATCAGATTAAAGAATTTTTTCCGTCATATTTACCAGCGAGATTCATTTTCAGTTCTACTTTAAAAGTCTACCAAAGAAGTGAAAAATACTCTTTGTTGTAGTAGAAAATTATACTGGAACTCTAAACTTGCGAAAAGTTTCAGTTCTTTAAGAAAAGGTGTATCAAAAGAGTGAGGATAACTTCTCCTTTCCATCAAAAACATTCGAAAGCTTTTCGTAACTTCTCTAAGAGTGGTCTAAATGCTTTGAAACGTTGCAAGAATATAATATAAGATCTAACGATAATAATCAAAAATGTTCCAGGTGAAACAGGCGGCTGACCTCCGCGACGTGATCTGCCCCAAGTTCCCGTCGAACTGGACCCTCGGCTGCAACGACTTCCTCAACCAATACCTTCCCACCGTCCTCGCCATGACCTACGAACAGTTCGACGGAAAGGCCGTCTGCGCCAAGATGCACACCTGCGAGAGCAAAGGTCTGGAATCACCTTGCAAAAGCAACTGAAGGGATCAAGCTTTTACACGGGCAATGTCCAAAAGGTCTCAAAAAAGACTTTTGGAAAAAAGGCCCCTTTTTTCTAGACCTTTTTCAGAAAAGGACCTTTTGAGGTGCAGAAAAAAAAGGCGGAAAAAAGGTGGAAAAAGAAGATTCCGACAAACTTTTGACACCTTTTTAGGAACTCAAAAAGGAGCTTTAGGCTTTTTTAAAGCCTTTTTAAGGTCTTTCTGACCTGTGTAATGGATCATTTTGAAAAGGAGAATTCCTTCTCACATTCTGGATTAAGAATTAATTTGTGCATAACTCTCGCAAGAGAGTTGATTTTTTTTGGCGGTTTTTTGGGAGTTGAAAGTCTGAAAAATGCTTGTCCATTTACCAATTGAACATCCTGAAACTCTTAACTTGGGATTTTAAGGAAAAAGTATTCAAATGCCGCGTTCGAAGTAATTTCGCGCAAATCAAAGTCATCTCGGACTCGCCAAAAAATTTTTATTTTTCTTACACCTGGAGGTTTTTTTTTGGATTTTGCGTGATCACTTTGAATACGGCTAAGGTCCAATAAGCATATTTGAGTGATTTTTCGTGGTTTTTTTTTCGACTTCAGGATGGCCGAATTTTTAAAAATGCAAAATAATCTATTTTATAGAAAAATAATGAAAAAGAGATCCGAACTTCTTCAGGAACCTTCCCCGTCGCCGCCCAGACCAACACCAAGAGCCAGGGCTGCGCTTCGTGCTCCCACATGCAATCTTTCTTTGCTGTGAGTAAACTCCTTTCAAAAAAGGGGGAAAAATTGGTTTAAAAGAAAGGGTGCAGAAAAAATCGGAAAAAAAAAGGAAAAAATTAGGAAAAATTCTGGGACGATTGAAGAAAAACTGATTTTAGGAGAACGCCCTCGCCTTCCACGGACACGCCATGGAGGCCATTCGTGAGAACGTCTGCCAAGCTTTGCCTGTCTCTTACCACCGTCTGGTCCGTTTTTTATCCAAAAAGATGAAAATTTTTATTCTCAGTATGAAACTTTAGAAAAATTGATATATGACATAGAAGGACGTCTTAAAATTAAGTTTGAGATTTTTCAAAAAAATTGGGTAGGTGAAAAAAAGAGCCTCAAGATGGCTCTACTTTCAAAGTTTGTCCAATCATTTTCTGAAAACCAAGAAAAAAAGTTCATCACAATCAGCGCAAAAGTTTGGTTTTTTTCGATATTTTTTTCGTGTTTTTTAATTTCGAATTATAAGTTTTAGGCCTGCATCTGTTTTTTTGGCGGCTTTCAAAATTAATATTTTAAAAAAATACAAAGTTTGTTCAATTAGCCATCTTGAAGACAATCATCCACGTTTGATTTTGATTGGTTGATCTTTTTTCCAGTGCACCCGCGTCGCGACGAACGTCAGCGGACGTCTCCTCAACGACTTCTCTCTGGCCGCCCGGATGGGAGCTCTTTGCCCGGCGGTAATCCTTTTTGAGAACCCATTTCCTCTTCTAAAGATGAGAATTCAGGTCTGCTAACCGTCTGGCAAGCGCCTCTCAACCTAACGAAACTTTTTCGATCGATAAAATTACTGCAAACTTTGTACAATGAATAATAATGCATTTCCAATCAGTTGAAAAATATTTATAAGAAGTTTTATACGAACTTGACGGTTATACTTATAAAAATCCAAGCTAAATGCTGTTCGAAATTTAAAAATTTTTTTTCGATTTTTAATGTGTACTTCTCGGGCTTCAGTAACGCAGTCCGGTCGCGCCCTGGAAGTTTCTGAATGATGCTAGGGATCACTTAAGAGTACTTTTAAGAGAAGCCGGACGATTATGAGCATTTATATTGACCCTTTCAGCCAGAACCCTCAAGTGATCCTTAGGATCGCTCAGAAAGTCCGTTTTTCGTGACTTGAAAGGGCGGGACTTCTCTGCGCTCTCCTCGTCTCTGGGCGACCCTCTCAAGTTTACGTGCTGTTTCCATGTTTCTCTGACCTCGCCGGTGAGGGAACAGAGAGACGCAGGCACGCGAAAACTGTCAAGTCGCGGCGGACGGACTATATCGAGTTTTTGGAATCTTGATTTTTTTTTTTTAATTTACCTTTTATCAATTAAACTATACCGAAAACTGAAAAGCTCGAAAAAAATCGTTTATTTATCAACTAATGAGTAACACCAATTATGGTACGAAAAAAGAAGCTAGGCGACGAGCCAGCCACAGTCCTCCACGTAGGGCTTTTCTTGATCCAATCCATTCAGAGCCTCCATTTCTTTCTCGTCCAGCTCCAATGACAACGCCTAATTCTTAATATATTTAATTCCTAAAATCATTTTAGCACCTTGAAATTCTCTGCTATCCGCTGGGTATTGATCGATTTCGGAACAACGCCAACCCCTTTTTGAATCGACCAACGGAGAAGAATCACCTAAATATGTTTTATGATATTTGGTTCCAAAAAGCGATAACTATGGCGAAAAAAAAATTCAAATTTTAACACCCCTAGCGACTTGGAAAAATGTAAAAAAATTTGATGGCTATTTTTTTATGATTTTGATAATTTCAAGGAATGTTGATAAGAATACCATGGAATCAACAGCGAAATATGAAACCTTACAAAACGATAATTTTTCAATAAAAAAAGGCGCAATTTTTGAAATCTGAAAGAAACTTCTAGATGAGTCAGAATAAAATCCAACTTTTTTCATGAAATAAAATGGAAAAGTGATTTGACAGTAACTCAAGTAAATAATTTTTTGTGATATGAAAAAAAAAAAACAATTTCCAAGAAATCGTTTTTCTTACAGGAATTCTAACTAAGATTCGTAGTCCGAAACCCACCGCCGCTGTTGTTTTGTGCGTCTTGGCGACTTTTTGAACAACCGGATCGTTTAAAAGTTCGCCACTAGCCCTTCCCAACGGCGAGAAAGCCTCAAACTTCAAAGTTACACCTCTTTTTTGGAAGAAAAACCTGGAAAAAGATGCCATTTTTCAAGCAGTAATCGCGCAGTTCGTTTCTTTGAAAGTGCGGATGGATTTCCTGTTGGTTGACGGATGGATAGGCCTTAAAAAAGTAATTTCATATCTCAGACCTTGGTAACGCGAACGGGACGCGAATCGGACGTGTCGGGGCATTTCTAGTGACCACTTTAGTAGCCTCAGAACTCTTAAGGGATCCCTAGAATCGCCCAGAAACGTCCGGAGCGCGTCCGTTTTGCGTTACCAATGTCCGAGATAGCTTAAGCTTTCGAATTAGAGACCAACGTTCGAATATTCCATCATTTCCTCAATGTGGCGAGGCTCGTAGCTTGAGACGCCGATTGATCGGATCTTTCCGTTTGCTGGAAATTCCTAATTTTGAAACCCCTATCAGAATCTCACCCTGAATTTCTTGTAACGCAATCCAACAATTACGACGTTGTTCCCTGTTTCTCGGATCGTTATCCTCGCAATTATCATAGTTCCTTGGATAATGAACCAGAACCAGGTCCAGGTAGCTGCAATCAGCCGAGTTCGAATCGATATATTGATTTCTTGAGGAACTCTGTGGAAAGACGCTTTAACGAGTCTTCGACGTCTTCGTGGGTCAACGACGTCGTCGCTTGCGGCATGACTTTCGTCGTCAGGAAAATGTCCTTCCGTTTCAGGTTGTTTGCAGGCAGAACTCTCTGGAAGTATTACTTTTGCATCGAACGTTGAGAGAGAAAAAGCTTCATTCGTCACTAACTTGCTTGGGACTTATTTTTGGAAACCGTAATATCAAAATTCACTGTTTCAATCATCGGCGAGGTTTAGGTTTTTACAGCGGCCATAAGCATGGAAAACTTCTTGAAACTGATAAAGTTCGTTCTCATATCTTCGGACGCTTCAATACATCCAAAATTATGAAGTTTAATGAGATCAGAGAGAGTTTTTCGCTTTCTCTAGTTCCAGTAAAACAGAGAGAACCCGACTCATAAAAAATAGACTCAAATTTGAAGCAATTCATGCAAGTTTCGATTCAACTTTCGAGATTTTGTTCTATTTTTACGTAGAGCAACAGGTTGTGAACCTGTCTACGGTCCACAGGGTCCCAAGTTCGGTCCCCGCCACGACTTATTCGAGGAGTTCAAGTAATGTTAGTATAGGGAAACCACGACTTCACATGATCAGCATAACACAACAAGAGAAATCTAGAAGCCATATAAAGAATCTTTTTCAAAAAAATTTATAATCGACCTGCAAAGCTTCTCCGATTTCCGCCTCGTTATGGTAGTATTTGGCCGTGTCGATCATCCGATAGCCACAAGCCACCGCGTCCGCAACGCTTCTTTTCACCTTCAAAGTTAGCTAAAGTTGAAAAAAGTCCATGTAAGTTAGAAATTGTAGCTTCTCTGCTCGTATATTATTTAACTTTCTTAATTTCTTCAAACTTGAGAAATCGCGAATAAGGTTTTTTTTTTTGACTCATTCCCATTTTTTTTTCAAAAGTCCTAAAAAACTCACATTGTTGTCCAATGAAAGGTAGGTTCCCAAGCCCAAATACGGTATAAAATGACCAGAATTGAGTGCATGAGCGTTTTCGAACACCCTGAAAAGTAGGTGATCTTCGAGGAATAGGCAAAAAACTGAAATGTATAAAGATTCTAGAACATTTTTACTCCAAATAACGGAATATTTTCGAAGTTAGCTTTTTTCGCGCGGCTTTGGGGGCTTTTTCTGTCCTCGTTACACTTTGTTATTTTTTAATTTTACATTTTTTTTTTAAATTGCAAGCTCACATGCATTGTTAAGACAGTGCAACGGCGGCCGGTCAATATTGCGCCGTTAGTTTCGGATCCAGGAAATTTTTTCAATTTTTTCCTTTTTTGCAATTTTAGGACCTATTTCTCGAGATTACAAGATAAGTTACGTCATAAAAAGTACACACGCTTTCATTTTATTAAAAACGTATCCTGACTACCGTAATACGGCCGGCCGCCTCAAACAGGCGTGCTCATGAAAGCAAAAAATCTCACGATTTGACAATTTTAGAACAAGCAGTCATTTGCATAGCATGTAATTGGACAAATACGTTTGAAATGGCTCGGTTTTACGTCAATTTACAATTCTCTTATACGAACTATTTTTTGTATTTTTCTTTCCAAAACTTCAAATTGATTGTACTCTGCGGGTTCTTTGAGCTTTTTATCGACTCTTCATAAAAATATATACAGTTCTTTGTTTGCTATTCTACAAGGAAAAGCCGAAAAGAGGAAAACGAACTGATTTGATAGGCGCTGATAAGGTCCAGTCGGACACGATAACCTGTGTAGGACTGTTAGAAAAGTTTCTGAGCGAAGAAAAAACTGTTTCGAAGGTTGGAAAGATGCAAAAAGGTTCTCATAGAGCAGGATCTTTACTTAAATTCAGAAATTTTGTCGTTTTTGTGTTTTTTCTTTCCGTAATGATAAGTTTACAGGACATTTTCTTCAAATGAGGGCCATTCTACTTTTTCTTTTCGTTTCTGGCCTTTTGGCAGAAGTTTTGAGAATCCCTCTCCGCCGTAGAGAGACGAACGTACTGAAATTGATTCGAGAGGTTTTTTTGATATATTGAATCACGAGAGCATTTTTTTATAATTTTTTTAATATGTCTTCTGCTTTTTTTCCCAAGTTCCAGCAAGCTAATTTGAAGAAGAAGAAGAAAAAAATACTTGAATGAAATATTAAATATTTTCAGGGAAAGTACAAAAAATTCGTGCACGGATCCCGCCTAGTTTCCGGAAACCAAGTTGGCTACGACTACTACGATGTGAGTTTGGGATTTCGACGGAAAGAGTGGATATAACGGATGATTTCCAGACAGAATACGTTGGAGACGTCAACATTGGAACGCCGCCGCAAACTTTCAGTGTGATTATGGACACGGCGGCCGGCGACCTCTGGATTCCCGATATCACGGCCGATTGTGAGTCATTTACTTTTTGAACTATAAAAATACTTTTAGAACAGAGATTCATACGACGCGGTAGAGACAAGATTTTATAGCTCAATCTGCGCCAAAATATGACGAATTTTTTTTATTTCAGAGCTGCAGAACCATTTTCTTTGATACGCGCAGCCTGTCTTTGTGCATGCGCCTTTAATTTAGCCTCAAAGTTTCCGTTCTATTAAAGGCGCATGGACCGAGATAAGCTGCGCGCATCGAAAGGAAGCTTGCCAGAAAGGTTCTGCAGTGGGAAAGTTTTAGTGACCCTTTTAGGATTTCCACTGTAGTAGTCGAATTAGTGGTCACCTAAGTGTCCGCTTCAAGTGGTCCTTGAGAAAACTCTTGAGTAGCCACTAAAGTTCTTTCCACTAGCTCAGAGACAATAAACAGAGGGAGAAGTTGGCTTGGATATTATTCATATATTACGGAGCAAAATAATGAAAGTCTTGAAAAATCGACTTGAAAGTTGTGAGACGCTTTTTTTAATTCCTCAGGGATTTTGATAGAAGTTATGTGAGACTGTTTAAGAATTCACACAAGTTTGAAAAAAAGGCCAAAAGAAGCAGATTCTTAAAGAATTGAACCTATAACAGTTGTTACAAAGTATATGAAGTCTTTCTAGAAATGATCCTTTATTTTTCTCAGCTTTTTTGTAGCCACGACCTTTCGAAGTTCAAATATCACCATTATTTTTTTTAATCTGTGCATAAAAGCTTAAAAAATGGGCACATGATATGCAGAAAAATGATCCTTTTTGTATCCAAAAATTTTTTTTTATTTTATAGTTACTTCCGCATTTTTCTGAGACTTGAGAATAGGTTCAAAAGTTTAAGGTTGTCATCAATGAAGTTTGGAACGTTCTGGCGACGGAAAACATTCATAACTTTTTCTTTCAAATTTGAAACACCTGAAAATGTTTATATGAAGAACCAACACAAGATACAGTTTTTCTTTTGGTTTTCCACCCATGAAATTCGAGAAAAAATTTTTTGGAGTGGTTATTTAGTATCAACGATAACTCAAACTTCAAAAAAAGTTTTTTGAAAAAAATGAATTAACTTGAAAGCTTTCGCGATAAAATTTGTCTCCCTAACTTTATGGACGTCACGTGGAAAACTTTATTTTCTTTTATTTTTCACAATTTCAAGTGGGAAAACACAAGTTCGACGGGAGCAAATCATCAACCTACCAAAAAGACGGAACTCCTTTTCAAATCAAGTACGGTACAGAGTCTTTCGATGGCTTCATTGGGGTTGACAATGTCTGTGTAAGTTTCAAAAAACAAAATTTTCTCGAAATAAGTTACTTTTAAGATGGGAAACTCGACAGTTTGTGTGACACAAAAGTTTGGACAAGCCACAAAAGTCGCCTCTGCGTTTGGTATGCAATCGGCTGACGGTATTTTCATGTAGTTTCTTCATATTTTTCATAAAATCAGGTATCTTCGGTATGGCTTGGCCGGCCATGACGGAAATTCAAGCCATTCCATTCCTTTTCAACGTGATGCCTCTCTTGGACCAGCCAATCTTCACCATTTTCCTCGCTGAGTTAGTTTCATAGATTTCTATTTCGAAAAAGTATATATAGATATCGACTTGAGATTTAAAAAAAAAACCAAAACGAAAAAAATACAAGTTCGGCATTAGCCTCTAAAAAACAGACCTCTTTCAAACTCCACCTCTGGAATTCCATGTCCAAAATAGAGAAGACGAAAAAAAGGCCACTTTCTTGCAGTTGAAGTTTTCGAAGTATTTCCGACAACAATTGAGGCTCTAAAAAATGATACCACGAAATTAAAATTCAAATGAAGTTTTAAAGTAATAACCAGAGAAAGAAGCTAATGAAAATTTTAATAACCGAATTTTAAATTCCAGATTGGATTCATAAAAAAAAAAACTTTCCCATAATCATCAAGTTAAATCGTCCTTAAGCCTCTTCTAGTAAGCTCTTGAACATTATATTCGGTAGACTAGAGGCTTTTTATTGTAAAAAAATTTAGAAAAGTAAAAATTTTTTCTAAACTGTCGTCAGGTTAAGCGCTTTCTGTGCATTAGTGTTGACGTACATTTCTTTTACTGTAGCGCTTCAAATATTGGTTTTTTGAAGTTGCCAACTAAATAATAGAAAATGTCATATTCAGTCGAGGACCGACGGCAAACGGCGAGCCAGGAAGTCTTTTCACCTACGGAGCCACGGATCCTATCAACTGCGATTCTCAAATAACCTACGTTCCTCTGTCATCGAGAACTTACTGGCAGTTCACGATTCAGTCGTTAGTTTTCCTGATTGAAAATTTTGATAGTATCTATTGATAAACGTCAGATAGTATTCCGCTGTGAAACTTTGATTTCAGGGTAACGGCCGGGTCTTACAGCAAATCGAAAAGCTACCAGGTTTCCCTTCATTTTCAAATATAAAAAAAAGTTTTGCTGACTAGAAGTGGTTTAAAATATCATCATAAAAAAATGAAGTTTCAAATTATTTTATTCTTCAGACCATTTCCGACACAGGCTCCTCGTTTTTCTTCGCTCCACAAGAAGTTGTGACTGGAGTTGGCGTTGCCTTGGGAGCCACTTTCGATTCAAATTGGGGAGCTGTGTGTTTTTCCTCCTTTAACCATTTTTCGTAGATTTTAAAATATATATGTACAGAATTTCAGTATCAACTGCCGTGCGACGCGACACCTGGCGATATCGTCTTCCAGGTCAGCGGCAACACGTTCAAAGTCAACCATCAGCATTACATTGTCCGAAAAATGATCTTCTCAACGTTCACAATGCATTTTTCCAGGTGCAAATGGGAGATGAATGCATCTTGGGCATGTTCCCGATCGCTTCCGCCGGATTTGGTCCTTCTTGGTACTTTGGCGAGCCCTGGGTCCGTGCCTACTGCAATGTCTACGACATGCAGAACGGCCAGATTGGCTTTGCCCTGGCGAAACATTGAACACAGAATAAAATTTCGTTGGAGGTTTCAATTTTCAAAAAAGAATTAAACGTACTAATTTTATCCACTCATAAGTTGCAAAAAGCCTACGGCAAGCCGAATTCCCAAGCCGTCTCCGATCCAAGTACTACCGGCTCTCAACGTTGCTTAACTTGCCAGATCGGACGGGATGGCGTGTTTTCAACGTGATGTGGTCGTAAGCAAAGGCTATGAGGGGTCCCGCGAAGATAGTCCTCTTGGCGCATTTGATACGAGTCGAAATTTTTAAAATTTCAAAAAAAAAAGAGACAAAACTTATTTCCCTTTCGCCTAATTTTCATTTTAAAAACAAAAAAAAAGTTTCGAAAATTCATTGACTGAAAAAAAGGCTGTATTATCATTATTTTTATATTATCTAAGATTCGACATTGCTTCGGTTTTTCTGCAATTGGCCGTTTTAAAGAAGCATTTATTTACAGAAAATATAAATTAATGAGTCAAACTCGTTCTTTGTATTGATGAATTTTCTCAAACTCAGACGATTTCCTCGTTTTCGAAGAGGTTTGGATGTTCGTCGAACTGCGGGACTTGATTGTTGAAGTCAAAGAAGCTTCCAAACTGGTTTTCATCAAAGAACGGCTTTCCTTTGCTGTACGGTTTCCTTTCCTTTTTCTGCGGACGTGATTCTTCTAAATTCAGTCCTGGTGAAGAATTTCGCATGGGTCTTCTCGGCAGCCGTGGGGTTTTCTCAAAAAGTGCGTCGTCGAAGAGAATCTTCTCGATTGCTTGTGGGTTTCCTAGGCCAGTCTCACGTCTTGGAGGCCGTGGGCGGAGCAAAGAAGTCAGTAGATACAGCGAACGAGTTTCCTAAAATTTGTAACTTTATTCAAAATCTTCCTTTTTTACCTTTTGGAACTTCTTCGAAACTTCCTTGAGAGCTTTTCTCTGTTCTTCGCGTGTCTGGTCGTTGTTGTCTAACACCTTTTCAAAGGCCTTTTGAGCCTCGGGCAAGTTGATCAGAAGCTCGGCGATACTCCTGCTAGTTTCAGCTTTCTTCCTCATAACATCGCTCACGAAATCGGAGTAGTCTTTCTGGAAGCATGAGAATAGGCAAAATATGTTGAAACTTCTCACCTCGATATCATACTTCTTGGCCCAGTTTTTCAGCTCATTTTTCTGCTCGAAAATCGTTTTTTCGTTGTCAAGGATGGCAAAAAAGCCACGCTGACCTTCTTTAGAAGCTTTTCTGAGGAATTTTGGTAAAGGTGGCGAAGGTCGAAGGAAAGGAGGCGGCTGTACTTTTTCAGGGAATCCAGGTAGGAAGTACGGATGTCTGAAAGGAGGCGGTGGAAAGGCTACTGGTCCTGAAGAAGCTGGAGGTGGAAAGAATGAAGGTCCAAACGGTGATGGTTGAACTCCGGCTGAGCGAGGGGATGCGAAAGGGAAGTGAGCCGGTCCGAAGTGAGCTGGAGGAGGTACTGCTGGGGCGAAAAGAGCTGGCGGAGGTCCTACTGGTCCGAAAGGAGCGGGTGGAGGGCCAGACAATCCTACCGACCCGGGGGAATTTTGGAAGAATGGTGAGAATGGTGAACCAAAAAGAGGCGGAGGCGGTAGTGGAGGTCCTCCTAACGGTCCTTGGAATTCAGGAGGGAAGAAGAATGGATTTGGTGGAGGTCCAAATAGGAATGGAAGCGGGGGTGGGAGTCCTGCCGGTAGTCCAGGAGGAAAGGCCGGTCCAAAAAACGATGGGGGAAGGAGTGAATAATCAGGATAAGATGGTCCAGCTCTGGAAAGAACAGTTGGAACCAAGTCGAACACAGAAATATCTTCAACGTAGTCCTCAATATCAGGAACGACTTCAAGAGCAGCTTCGATGATTAATGAGGAAAAGAAAACGATCGCAAGCGACCGCATTTCAGTTTGAAAATTTCTATGAAAGGTGTAAAACCAGCGTTTGTGCTTCCTTATATACCAATGGAAGTAAAATTGGTGGTCAACTTTGCGAACGAGAAGAAAGCAAACAACAAGTAGCTCTTGTCCCTTTTTTTTTTTCTCTCCGTTAACTCGTCCGGTGTTGGTCAAAATCAACACAGTCATCAATGGGCTCTTTTCAGGGAGTTTAACGCTTGAGTGCTGTCTGTTTTTTTTTTCCGGTTTTGGTGATGAACTTTGAATGAAAAAAAATAATGACCGAAAATCACGTTTTGAAAATTTTCAGGACACTTTTTTCAAAAAATTTATATATTCAAACTTTTAAAATGGTTTTTGGCCAGAAAGTAAAAAGTAAAAAAATTTTATGGGCGAAATGTGTTCCAAATCTGTGGAACAAACAGTTCAAGAACTTATAAGTTTAAAAAAACGAAAAATGATTTTTCTTTTTTTAATATGGAGTGCTGTATGTTTTTGGTCGCGAGCTTTTGGCGTGTGAATGCAGCTAATGCACATAATTTGACGACAAACATTCACGTATCACGTTGGATTTTTTTAAACTAAGTTTTTTTAATTTATTTCCAACATTTTATTTCTTATGTTGAATTTCATTACAATAGAAAAAAATATTTTTTTAAATGCAGTCCAAATTGAACCGGAAACCCATAAAACCAATTAAAAATAGTTTTGTATGAAAAAAAAAATCTTTTTTTTCTCAAGTATAGAATTACAAAAGCTTTCTTTTTTTGAATTCTTGGACTGTCTCGACGAAAAAATCTGTTGGTGCCATTAATCATATTTTTCCCAGGTGTTATTGATAACTTTTTTCCTACAATCAAAGCTTTATTCCGAGAGATGAAGATCTTTTTCCGAATTTCGTGTCATTCGCTCAATTTTCCGCCTTCTTACTATCTTTGCTCCTTTTTGACTTCTTGCTCTTGCCGCCCTTCCTTCTGTTCTTATCTGGGATAACGTATTCGTGAGCCTGTAATTTCGACATTTTTCGATGAATTTGATGAACTCAAACATGAATCGGGCTGCTGTTACGAAGCGCCTGTCTCATGGCGAATAGACCTTGGAAAGCCTTAAAAAAGGTTTTTGAGAAATCAAAATTGGAGTTTTACCACAGGATGAGCCCTGAAGATCTCGTCCAGCTTGTCATAACGCTGTTTGTGCGACAGACTCGTGTCCTGGTAGATTTTCGTTTTTTGATCTTGGATGTCTCCCAAAGTCGACAGCAATTTGAGGAGTTGGGCCGTCAAATCCTTCTCATTTGCCGTAACTGCTTCCCGGAATTTGACATATTCGTCCTGCAAAGCTTCATTTGAGACAAAGTTAGTTCTTGATTCAATGAATAACGATTTTTCATTGAACCTCGCTAGAAAAGAAGATTATTGGACTAGTAAAGACAAAAAATTCATAATAAACTTTGATTACTTTTTTGGGTTTGAGCTTTTTTTTCTGTGACTTTATGTTGTTCAGAAACTATTCCTGGGTGTTCTGGAGGTTTTTTTAACGTATTAAAAAAAGTCAAATTTCTACCTAATCAGTTCCGAAAAGTGTTAGGGTCTTTTTAAGTTTAGATATAAATTTTTCAAAAAAATTTCATCATGGTTCAGAAGAAAATTTCTCTTTTTCATCGCGAACCTTTTTTTGCCATTTTTTTGTCGGCCCAGGCGGTCAATTGCGCAGTTTGATCCTTGATGACGAGCTCGCCATTGTGGGCGATGTCGAAGTACTCTTTTTTGGCCTCGACGCTCAAACCTTTCAGGAAGTCTGGCAATGGAGGAGCCTCAGGTCCAAGACGTCTTCCCCTCGAAAATCTCTTGGAAGATCCTTTGTCTTCGCCGTCTTTCTTCGCAGAAACGACGAGAACGACGGCGGCCAACGTCAGCAAGAGAAAAGTTCGCATTTTCATTTTTCTTTGCTTTTTTGGTGCTTTATACTGCCCTTTTTCTCAGAGTTTATGCTTCGTCTATGCCTGCAATTCCCTTTTATGAGAAAAAATATCGATAGAATCCATCATAAAGTCGTGAATGATCGAAATCTCTCTATTTCAAACGCACCTTTCCGGGATTTTTGAGAAGAGAAAATGATCATTATTGTTTCGTGAATTATATATTATTTGATGTCGATGAGGAAACGTGAGAAAGCATTTCAGTGCGGAGCATAATTTCAATTTTAATACAAATTAAAAGCTACGGAATCCCAATTTTAATGAATAGACTACGGTGAGTTTTTCGGCTGCGAAGAGTGTGAATGCGGTAGAAGCGCAGAACTTGACGACTTCCAGCCAATTTAGTTTTACTTTTTAATTTTTTTTTTAGGTTCAAAGTGATTTCGCGAAATACAAAATAACCGTCAGAGAAAGAAAAAGATAATCAAGTTTTGGAGAGTCAAAGATAATTTTGCATTTCGCGGAAATTACTTTAAACACGGCATTGTTTCTTCGTTTTTTTTTTCTTATTGCATCAAGACAGGCAGTGAATAAACTATTATCATTAAGACAGATTTCATGTCTGTTTTAGTCTTTTTTTTTTAGTCGAAGGCATGTTTTACTGTTTTTTTTCGAGCTCCATTGAAGCTTTTGTGATACCTTTTGTATATTAGAGATTTCATGATAGTTAAAAATTTATAAAAGACACCCTCAATGACAAAATTTTGATCAAGACGGCGATTGGGGCTTTTAAAAGCTCCTTTAGGTACAGAATCCGCATGACTTGGAGCATTGTTCTTTCATAAGATCCAGGTAGATGCTATTCGTGCAGAGGTTCAAGTTCTTCGTACAGGTCGATGGCGTGATCTTCAAATTTCATTTTGCACTTTTTTGATCGATTTGAGAGCTCACCTTATCGGCACACGTAGAACCAGAAACTGCTGTAAATATATTTCTTTATTATTGAAGTGAAAGGAAAAGTCCGAAAAATTCATGGTCTCGATATTTGGATTATAAATTAATTATAGCCTATTCCGTGCCAGCTTGTCACGTTTTTCTTCCCGCCAAAAAGACCGTATACCAAATTAGATCAAATTTCTGCTTTTATAACGGCAAGAAAAAAGGTCTTGAAACGAAGTTGGTTAAATTTTACTTAGCTTTTTTGCGGAAAGAAAAAAGTGACAAGCTGGCGCGGAATGGCCTATAACTAACTGCAGAAGCCGCAGGTCTTGGGACACTGATCTTTCATGAGATCCAGGTAGGCGGTATTTGTGCAGAGCCCCGCGTTTTTCGGGCAGTCAGAAACGCCTGTTTTTGGGTTCAGCTGAAGTTTTCATTTTGTAATTTTAGACCAATTGGTCAAAATAACCTTATCGACGCACGGAGGGGCTGTTTGAACTAAATTAATTGACTTTTTGATAAATGATGAGTTTTTTAGTTACCGTTAGTTTGTGGGCAGCAGGTGCCGTCGGAGATTTCCACGAGTCCCGATGGACAAATACCGTTTATTTTGGCTGAAAGTTTTTCTTATTATTCATATAATTTTCAAGTTGGTACAGATTAAACATTTGTTAATTTTTACATTTTTCGACTTTGGCGATTTTTGTTACCGACCTTTACCTCTTGAATTTTTCCCTTTTTAGAGTTTTTTTTTTCTCTTGAAACTTTCCTCTTTTTCAAAATATGTCTGTATCGGATCTTTATACGACAAGTGAAAGAACACTTACTCAAAAAAAAAGCTGGGTAATTATTTGTCGTAATGCTTTCTAGAGATAGGAAAAGAATGGTCGGAGAAGTCGCCATTGGAAAGTTCGCTATTTTTTGAACAAGAATCATTTTCAGACCTACCGCCAGTTGCGATGTTGCAAGTGGTGGTAGATTGGGCACCGACGGCGGCGAGGAAAAAGGCGACGAAAAGGAGTTGGAGCATCGCGGATCCTGAAGTGAAGTCAGAAATGGCGGCGACGATATTTATACCTGGAAAGTTCGAAGGTTTGCAGCTGCTCAAACCAAAAGTGTCGATCTTTTCTCCTATTTGGGAAAGGTTTCGAACGACTCTGTTTGAACAAATGTTCCACTTTCTCCTCCGTTTTTTTGCCAATTTGATTCGACCAAAATGACTACAATCCTGTCCTTGCGCGACATCAAAGATTGGCCAAATGGTATCAATTTCAATGTAAATTTGAACTTTTTTTAATTTCAAAATATTAAAATTTTTGTCTCCCGATACTGACTGGCGTCCTGAGCGAGGGTGTATTCCAGGGACGAAGGACAGCATTCGCTTACGACCACATCACGTTGAAAACACGCCATCCCGTCCGATCTGGCAAGTTAAGCAACGTTGAGAGCCGGTAGTACTTGGATCGGAGACGGCTTGGGAATTCGGCTTGCCGTAAGCTTTTTGCACTTTTGTCGGCTCTCAGTGGAACTTCTGGATACAATGGGAGATTTAAAAAAGAAGAATTTATTAGCGAAAATACTAGGGGATATCCCAAGTTTTTTAGAGACCGACGGCCTTCTTGGCACCATGTCGGTGCTCTGCGATGTACCGGTTTCGGAGAACGCTGAGGGCTTGAAGCTCCTGAAAAAAAATTTTTTATTCAGTTAAAAAGGTCAGCTAAGCATATGGTATTCGAAGCTTTTCTAATTATCTAAAAAGTTAAATCAGCAAAAAAAATAGAGTTTTCTTTTATCCTGTTTCCTTCCTGCATGCCGCGTTATTTTGACACAATCTTGAAGCAAAGGCGTCATTTTCAGCCTAGTTTCCATCTCGATGAATGAGTTAGTCTCATCGGAAAGCAATCTTAAAACCCACATAAGGATATTTGGCCTGGAGCTTGTCAAGGGCCTTCTTCCTGTCGGCATAGGTCTGATTTTTGTTCCTCAGGATGGTCTTCAATGCAGCTGCGGCCTTCGGGAAGTTGTTGACCGTTTCGTCGACCTTTTTGAAGGCTCCCGACGCAATATTGTTCAAGTCGGTCTTGTACTTGTTGTAGGCCTGAAAAAATTCGGTAAATTCTGGAAAAGTGAACGGTGCGCTTCTCACATTGACGTTGTGCTTCTTTGCCCAGGCGGCGAGCTTGGTGTCGATCTCGCTGATGGTGAGGACAGCGTCGTTCTGGATCTTCAAGAACTCCTTCTTGTCGTCCGACTTGACGTTGGCCAAGAAGGAAGGCTCCTTCTGCTCGGCAAGGACCGCCACGGCGCCAAATGCGCAGACGATGAGAACCTTCAGCATCTGGAAGAAAAGAAGAACAATCTAGTTCGAAAGCGAAAACTTGGAAGCGAATGAAACAAGACGTCAAAGGCGAGCTTTTGTACTCACAGTAAGGCGTCTGAAGCCCACTTTTACGAGCAAACTGTCGTAAAACTGAGGTTTTTTTCATATTTCATTGTTTCTTGTCCTGAAATATTTTGATTTCGCTTGCGCCTGGATTTATTGTTTTTCAAAAAAAAAAAAGGAAAAATGATCTTTTGTGTTTTCTGATGTAATAGATTTTTAATATTGACAAGAATGCAAATTCTGAGACTCGGTTTGATGCTTTTTAATCCTTTTTTCAAATATTAAGCATATAGGCGCTCATTGATACACTGGTCACACAAATAGGCCTATGGGGAGAGTGAATTAGGGTTTCAAAAAAATTAAAAAAAGTATGTCTAACCCAGATCCAAGACGAAGGGAAGGTGTATAGAAAGTTTTTTTATTATTTTCAACTTCAAAAAGTACTTCTGCACATTTTTTTGAGCCTCACTCTTTTTCTCAAAGGCCTATAATTAACAGTTTACAAAACAAAATGACTTGGCACATCCGTGCTCAAACTTCTACTTCTTTTTAAAGTTATCCAAACACTGCCAATTCAAAAAAAGGAGATTAGTGTCGCTTAGCTCTTAGAACTTTGCTGGATTCTCTATCTGAAATTTAGCTGTATTTTTATTAAGAAAACATTTATCCAGTAAATGGAAATCCTATAAGATCTGAAAGTGTGGTTAGAGACCTTGGTCTTTTGATTGATGAAGGACTCACCTTCGATTCTCATATTAATCATGTTGTCAATATTGCTATGTTGAAATATCGTCAACTTCTTAAGGCTTTTTCACATGTCGGCTTACCTAAATATAAGCTTCTTTTCAATCTTTATGTTCGTCCTTACCTCGAATACGCTTGCGAAGTCTCTAACCCACCCCTAACCAGTGCCCTCTCCTCCCAACTTGAAAGACCTCTCCGTTTCTTCACCAGAGAGGTGTTTATTAGAAGAAATGTTCGTTGTAATTCATATTCTGACCGTCTAAGTGTACTCGGCTCTGTCCATGCTTTCCGAAGGAGAATAATAATTTCTCTACTAACTCTCCAAAAATTAGTTCTGGGCTCCTACCATTTTCCAAGCGCAGAAAAATTTCTTCAGAAGAACTGATTCACCTCGTTTTCCAATGAGACTCATACAGACAGGTCCTCGTTTTAACAGTTTCTTCAGCACAGTCATTCCTATTTGTAGGGACCGCAGGCCAATTTCCAAAGTCAGTGATATAAAGTTGAAACCTATATGAAAAGAAAGCTGATGGCAATCGAGAGCTAACTGCGAAAAACAGAAAAGAAAAAAATATGAAAAAAATGAAAAAGTTATAAGCAAAAAAAAGTGGCGAAATCAGGGAGAACCATTTTTTTGTGTAGAAACTTTCGTCAGGGTCGCAGGAAAAAGGGGCGTGTTTATAGATGCCGCGCGCTCCTTGCTGTGCGTTAATTCACGCAGGAGACGTTTCGAAAAACATATTTATTTGAGTTTTTTTAGAAGTTTTTAAATGAAATATTAGAGTTTTTCATATTGAATATTGCTCCTTATCAATATGAGCCTACTCTTCAAGCACTCACGCTGCTGAAAAGCGATTTTGAATAAGGTTTTAATGCATTTCGTAAAAAAAAGAAAAATAACCGACAAAATAGACCTTTGCGAAGGACGAACAGCATTAAACCGAATTGAAAATGTAACAGTCTACTAAGAAATTTACTGAAAAAAATATGTAAATAATCACCAAGTCCTTTTTTTCAGAGAGTTTTTTTAAAAAAGGGCGAAAGCGTTTTTTTACTTTTTGACTTTCTACTTCTTTTATTTTTTTCTCTAAAGTTCGTGCGTCTACATGGAGTGTACGTAGACAATTTTTTAGAATTCTTTACTTGACATTCCGAAAATTCAAAAAAAGTTCAAAAAATTCAAAAACAGTTGAGTAAAAGCGAAATTTAATACTTTTCTCGCTGCTTTAATGGATATAATGATATAGGAAAAAGATTCCAATTATGAAATGAGTAAAAAGCAACTATAAAGCCACAATAAAATGAGAAAACTTGAATAGAATACATAAATAGTTTTAAAAAAACCTTCTTCACGCTTTCGAAAAATTTCGTGGCCTTCGCGGTGTCTGCAGATTTCCAGCGACGCGCAGTTTTAAAAATAACTTTCGAGCGTTTAAATTAACCATACTTTTCGGGCCATCCTAGGAATTCTTTTTATTTTTTTGATATGTTGTAGAGAAATGTGTAATGTTTGATATTATGAAATAAAAAAACTTGCCCAGAACGCTTTGGGCCGTTTTTCAAAGCGTTACAAAAAAACGGAAATTTTAAGCTTTCATATAAACTATATGTTCGATGAAAAAAACTTAGTTTTTCTATTTTTTTAAAATTTGCAAACAACTGCAAACAACCGTTTAAAAATATAATCAGTAATTATCGATTGCGTTTTTCGAAAATAAGGAATTTCGAAAATCGTGATTTTCAAATTGCGTTATTTTTTGAGGCCAACCATAGAATTTTTTTATTTTTTGCCAGAATATGCGTTTTTTTAGTTGCTTTATGATATTCAAGAATAAAAAAAAGTTGCCCAGAAACTTTCAAGAAAAAAACAGGGATTTTTTTATCCGTTTTCGGCCACAAATGCGTTTTTAAAAAAACTGTCGTCGTACATTCTTATTTCTCATTTTTTTCAGTATTTTCTTTTTACGTAGGATTGTTAAGCATAGCCGATTGTATGTTTCCCCCAATTTTTTCCCAAATCGGTACAAGAAAACTGTTTTAAAATATGAAAAAGAACCAAAATGCAACGAAAATGACGAAGTTTTTTGAACAGCGAAGTGGGCGTGGCTCTGCGGTCCCTACCTATTTGGAACAGACTGTGCTCAAGATTCGACATGAACACTTCAGCCTCCCGCTTCAGGAATTTTCTCGACTCTCTCGACAACAATGAACTACTCGCAAGTGTGCCCAACAAACTGCTCTAAAAAAAATAAAATCCGAAATTTTTGTTCTCAATTTTCAATACGTGTCTCCCATCCCGGTAAATCGCTCGTTGGGGCGTTTATATATCGGGTTTCACTTCATTCAAATACTTTCTATTCTGTATCTGTATTTTTGTGTTTGAGTGAGATAAATAAATAAATAAAAAGGACATATCCAGTCTCGATTTTCGCGTTCTTATCCGTTTTCCAAAATTATTTCATCAGAAATGAAACTGAAGTTTTTTTCTGATCGGTGAAAAAAGTGACAATATTGCACGACAAGACACAATGAAATATGGAGAAAATCTCAATTTTACGGCAATTTGCTCGTAAACGTTGGTTTCAAACACCTTTCCATGGCTACAAAAGCTCGCCTTTGACGTCTTGTTTCATTCGCTTCCAAGTTTTTGCTTTCGAACTAGATTGTTCTTCTTTTCTTCCAGATGCTGAAGGTTCTCATCGTCTGCGCAATTGGCGCCGTGGCGGTCCTTGCCGAGCAGAAGGAGCCTTCCTTCTTGGCCAACGTCAAGTCGGACGACAAGAAGGAGTTCTTGAAGATCCAGAACGACGCTGTCCTCACCATCAGCGAGATCGACACCAAGCTCGCCGCCTGGGCAAAGAAGCACAACGTCAATGTGAGAAGCGCACCGCTCACTTTTCCAGAATTTTCCGAATTTTTTCAGGCCTACAACAAGTACAAGACCGAATTGAACAATATTCTGTCGGGAGCATCCAAAAAGATTGACGAGACGGTCAACAACTTCGCGAAGGCCGCAGCTGCGTTGAAAACAATCCTGAGGAACAAAAATCAGACCTTGGCCGACAGGAAGAAAGCCCTTGACAAACTCCAGGCGCAATACCCTTATGTGGGTTTTGAGAAAGTATTATGATATTAAAAATGACTGCTTTACGATGGGGTTAACTCATCTATCGAAATTTTTTTGTTGATTTTATTATTTAGATAATTTTTTTCAAAGCTCTGAATACCATATGTTTAGCTGACCTCTTTAATTAAATTTAAAAAATTTGCAGGAACTTCAAGCCCTCAGCGTTCTCCGAAATCGGTACTTCGCAGAGCACCGACATGGTGCCAAGAAGGCCGCCGGTCACTAAAAAACTTGGAATATCCCCTAGAAATTTTCGCTGATAAATTCTTCTTTTTTGAGTCTCCCATTGTCTCCCATTGCATCCAGAAGTTCCACTGCAAGCCGACAAGTGTGCAAAAAGCTTACGGCAAGCCGAATTCCCAAGCCGTCTCCGATCCAAGTACTACCGGCTCTCAACGTTGCTTAACTTGCCAGATCGGACGGGATGGCGTGTTTTCAACGTGATGTGGTCGTAAGCGAATGCTGTCCTTCGTCGCTGGAATAGACCCTCGCGCAGGACGCCATTGGTGCTGCAGTTATTTCGAAAAAAAAAGAAAAAGAAAATGCATCTGTTGAAAATATTCAATGATGAAGCAAGGAGAAATTTCTTGAAGTCCTTAAGGTCGCCAGTCTGCTGAATTCATTTAAAAATCAAAAACAGTTCGAAAGTGCACAGTATTTATTCACAGGCAAAGGAAGGCAATTAATGAGTTGGAAATGGAAATGGTTGTCAAAAAGTGATCAGTAGTTTCTTCCATGCCCGCCACGCGGACCATCAGGACGACCTTCCGGACGCCCATGACCTCCATGACCGCCTGGACCTCCGCGAGGTCCGTGGTTTTCGTGGGATTTTGGCCCGTCGAGCACCTTTCCGATGAAGAAAAGCGTCGGGATTTCCTGGGAAGATCCGTGAAATACGCTAATTTCCAGTTATGATTTAAAATTGCCCCAAAAAATTTTTCTTAAGCTCAAAATTTTTTTTTTTGAAGATGTTTTTGGTTTTCGAGCTCAATCTCGAGTTCTTTGATGGACTTTCTGAGTCGTATCATTGAAGATTAAAAAGAAATTAATGATTCTCAATATCACCCCAAAGTTATAAAGTATTTCTGTAGCTTCAAAATTGCAGAATACCAACTAACCTGAGGAAAACGCGTTCGGAGCTCCTCGATGGTGGCTCTCTGCTGGGCGCGAGTCTGCTCCTTGTTGTTCATGACGGCATCGACGGCCTGTTTGGCGGCCGCCAGGTTTCCGATGACGGCGCTCACGTTCTGCGACAGTTGAGTCTGACGGGCGGTCACGTTGGCGATGAACTGATTGTAAGTATCCTGTAAGAAAAACCACTTTGAGGATCGAATCTTAGGAGTTCTAGCTTCTGACACATTTACAGGAAAAAGTGGCTTTCAAACAGTTTTTTTCCAAAGCTAGGAATGTTCTTTTTTTGTAAACTTTCATCAAACTCTTCCTCTATATATATTATTACGGAAATCCACATAAAATTAGAAAAATCCCGTTGAAAACTGACCACAACTCCATTAGTGCTGGCCCAGGCGCTGAGCTGCGTCTCTTCCTGGCTGATGGTGAGGTTCGGGTTGCGACTGATGGTGAAGAAGTCACGACGAGCCGCGTCGCTGACATTCGCCAGGAACGGCGGGAACTTCGCGCCATGAGCTCCGTGACGAGCCTCGACGGCGGCCAAGGCAAAGAGCGCGCACACCAAAAGGCCTTGGTGCAGGGACATCTGGAAGATATTCCATTCACAACAGCTTTTTTGAGGTTGTCAGAGGCGAAGAAGCGAATTTGAGATAGAGAATGGCCTTAGGGAAGTTTGAATATCTAGGGGAGTTGCAAAAGGAGAAGGATTGAGATTTTAATGAAATTATACGAGGAAGGTAATTTTATTTTGCGGTTGGGGATTTGCTGATATAAGGTCAGAATACTTCTTTATGTACCAGAAAAAGGTCCTGAGAGTTTGAACCTGTAGAACTTCCTATTTTTTATGGAATGACACCTTAAAATCGAAGAAAAGCATGAAAAATCGTTGAAACAGGCTCATTTTAGGGCTTATTTCTCGACAACGAGGATGTTGTGCAGGTTTGGACTTATAGGAATTTTTTCTGATACATCAAAGAGTGTTGTGGCCAGTTTTCAAAAGTCAATGCAAAATTACACTTCTTATTTTTTCAGGAAAGGCTTCTGATTACAAATCAAAAGCACCTTTCAGCAAAACTTGATCAAATTATCAAATCTCCATTTTCAGCGAAAGATAGTTTGAACAACAGTGAGATAGGTTGAGAAAGGAAAAGAGAGAATGAGCTCGAGAGCGTGAATCTGGTACCAGATGGCCGGCACCACGAAAAAAAAAACACGCGAAACCATCAAATTCTACAAAAACATCACGCCCTTTGCGCGAAGAGAGGATTTTCGCCGATGTTTTTTTTGAGTATTTTATCGATTTATTTTGTGCCATAACATGGGGAAATCTGGAAAACACGTCTGGGCTAAGGGAGAAAAAGAAAAATAAGAATTCTTTATTTGAAAATGTTTGCATTTTGTATACTAGAAATATTCAGGAAACTCTTATTTTTTTGGTCGGTTTCGGTTCAAGCAAAACTCTTTGAATAGGTTTCCGAAAAAAAGTTTTTTTCGTGTTATTTGGATAAATCAAGGACAATTTTGACTTCTCTCAAATTTTGTGAAACGCAGCCGTTTTTTAAACTAAAAACTCTTGAAATTTTGAGCCAAACTTTAAAAAACAAGCAGAAGAAAAGAGCCATTAATCAATGTTTTTTTTTTTTCGAAAGAAGCTTGAATCTCCAAGCAACAGACTACCGCCATAGTAACTTCGAATCGACGGAAGACTTTCGAGAACTTCGATTTAAGGTTTTTTGTTAAAAATTTAAAAGAGTAACAGAGAGGAAAGTCAGTAGCCTCTTTCTTAGGAACATAGGTAATTTAATTCCAGGTCTCCAATCGAAAAGCCTTTCTCAGTAATATTTAGGTTTTCTGCGCTTTCATAACCCTCATTAACGATTTTTAAACAAACTGAAGCCTGAAAGTCCCAATGTTTCAAGCTTTAAAAGCTTCCAATATTGATAAAAAAAAAACAGTGCGGAGTGTTTTGCGCAAAAGTCGAAGTACAAACTCAGACACCGACTAAATGATTTGAATGGATGAATGGGGATGGAAATGGAAGCGGAAGTGAGAAGTAACTTGTGTCGACGGCCACGCAGCTCTTTAAATAGTCGATTTCGGCGACCGGACAGATGTGAGAGCAAAAAAAAAACGAGAGAAAAAGGGCCAATGATTCACCCCCGCCTGATCTGTGCCGCCCTTCTCGCACAATAACAGTTCATTTGAATATGACTAAAAACCTCTGAATAGGAACTCCCACGGTCGGAAACCGTACAATGATCAACACCAAGACCAAAAAGATTCCGACCTTCAGTCTGGGCGATTATAAAAAGATTGCCTACTTTTTAGATTGATTCGTCTCTCTGACGGATTGGGATCAAAAAAAAGTCTGAAAATATCGCGTCCTTCGAGGGTTTTATTAGCGAGAATTTTGAAATTGGCCTCTTTTTGAACTGAGTAGCAGAAATCGGAACCAAAATAGCTCCATTTTCAAAAATTATTTTGACTGGATGATTGGAAAATTGGCTTCACTTTATTTTTGATCGATTTATTTTTTTAAAAAGAAAGGATGAAAATCGAAATAAAAAAAGCCTTTTTAAACGTAGATATTTTTCCGAGGTTTTTTTGTAAGAAAATTAAATTCGTAAGAAAAAAATGACTGATTGAAAGAACTTTTTTTCTTGAAATTTTTCCTCCCTTTTTTTAGTTTTTTTCTTTTTCAACTTCTTAAAGCTCGAAGTCTGGTTTTCAAAACTCTAACTCGATCAACCGCAGCGCGTTGATCCATTCTGCCTGCGATTACATCTAGGAACCGCAAAGCCACGCCCCTTTTCGCGATAAAAAAAAGTGGCTTTTTTTTGGTTTTCAACTTTCATTTTGTTGTAGTTGTAAAATATGTGGCGAATAAAATTTGACACACATGTACAGAAAAGCTTCCTCTTTCGTTTAAAAAATATTTCACGCTTTTTTGATGCGTCCTCGCGGAATGTCGTACAAAAAAGTGAATGGAACTAAAAAATTTTGTCATTTTTTGCTTTTTCATGTGTTTTTCAGGTCGAACGCACTCTTTCTTTTTTTATATAATGATTTTTGATTCAAGTAACGGTAATTTTAAAACAATAAAATAAAAAAATTCGTCTTTGCCAAAAAAATTTTAAGGAGTGCCGAAAGTCATAATTCAAAAATATCTTTAATAAGCGAATATAATCGAGTTTTTTTGTTTTTTTCAGAATTTAGACCATAGACTTACTTAAATTTTTTTCTCCACAGCATATGTGCTTGAAAAAGTTGTTTAATACACAAAAATGCTCTTGAAAACTAGAGAATAAAATTAGCGGCGTTTATCACACCGAAAGCGGTCGAACGCAGGTTTTTTAAACTATTATATGCATTTATTAGTAAAAAAATATTTCAATTAAAAAGAATAAAATAAAAAAAATTCGTCTTTGCCAAAAAAATTTACGGGGCCGTTTTAATGCAGCGATCGTTTAACGAGGCAAAAAGCACTAAAAAAGAGTTTTTTCGAAGTGAATTTCCACGGAAAGTTTGAGTAAAGATTTGCGAACATATTCTGATAAAAATAGCTAAATTACTTCAAACTTTTCTTTTTGAAATAGACAATCTGTGCTATCCAAACGGCTCAAGGGTAAGGCGGATGGAAGCTCCCCTAACAGCTTGGCGCAGCGCGTGCGCTGCGGATTGTCTTTTTGAGGTCGCGAGTTCGATGCCCGCAAGCGTCAGTTTTTTGTTTTCTGGAAAATACCGACTTTTTCGGCAAACTAGCAAATTTTTATCATTTTAGCACTCTATTATGATTTGTTACATCATATTAGACCAGTATCAAAACTTGTTCCAGAAGAAAAATCGAGAAAAATGTCAAAAATGGATAATACCAAAATTTCAGTACTAAAAAATGCTGCGCGGCGCGCCACATTTTTCGTCATAACTTTTTTCATCCTCAATCTTTTTCGAAAAACTAAACGGTTCTGAGTTTCGAATCAAAACAGCTATCAAACCATACAAAGCTAAATGCTGAAAAAAATTTTTTCGAAAATTGGTCTGCGGTCCCTAATTACATCGTTTCAAAATGTGATAAATTAATTTTCAGGAAGAAATGATGTTTTCTTTTTGACCCATGGGTTTGAAAAAATCTATTTATTCTATGGGCTCATCTGGCTTTTTTATGCCAAAATTTTCTTTTTCCTTTTCCGGGTCGATTCAAATATTTTCCATTTCGTAACAAAAATTCGACGGCAGTAACAGTTGAACAAACATGTCTCGATTGAACAATGTGAATAGGATAATTACAATTTTTCAACTTCATCTGTGCTCGAAATTTTTCAAAAAATGAAATAACAGTAGACAATAATTTATCTTTCGACACCGAAATTCAAATCCGATGGCTTTTTGTGCGTCTCTGCAGGCTGTGGATCATTTGAACTGTCGGGTCGGTTCTCGAGAGTCGACGCAGTTCGGCACGAACCATTAGGACTGCTCGTGAAGGCTAAAAAGGGACAGAATGTTTTTTTTTTTTAAATGTGGGTATTAGACGCTCTTTATTCATATTATCCTTTGTAGAAATCGTTTCGTAAAAACCTTAGGCTTGAATTTCAAGTTGGATTATTAAAAAAACAATAGTGTCAATTAAATCTTTGAAAATCTACATATAGAGACAGTATTTAGCAGTTTTTTTTTTTCCGAATTTTCAATCTCCGAACTGTTCTTCATTCTTAACGCTTTCATCTCGTTCAGTCTGTTCAATTTTGAATGTCAAGTCGCTCAAGCTCCGCCCATGATATCCCGATAAACCCATCAGAGATCGAGCCATCCGCAGAGCGTTTTCGAGCGACGTCATTGTATATACTTGACATTCAAAATTTTAGCTATCTACAATATAGTCTGTGTGCCACGACTTGAAATTCCACGGAACGACATTCCGCTGTTCCGCTGCGTGCGTTCGCGAAGCGTCTTTCGAGTCTAGGTCACGCTTTCAATTTATTCTCATTGCTGTGGGTGCACATAAAAATAGAGTACCTTGATGAAAAAAAAATTAGAAGCGCTTCCAAGGTTTGCTGTCTGTGGGGGCACATGAAAGTAGACCTCAATAATAGAAAAAAAAAAATTAAAATCGAGGTTCGCAAAGGCGTGCAGCGGCCCAGCGGAATGTCGTTTGGTGAAATTCAAAGTCACGGTACACAGGCTATATGATTCTGGCGAGCTTTTTCTGCATGAAATCCAATTTTCGAAGACTCGCCAAGGGATACTGCTTCTTGATGGTCCGAACGGCCGCCCGACGTTCCGCGGGAGTCTTGGACTTGTCCAGAAAGACGGCGTTGAGCATTTCGTTCACTTTCGGCACCATTTCCAACACCGACGTCACGTTGGCGCTCATTTGGCTGTGAGAAAGTTCAACTCCAGCCTTGTACTTTTTGTATTGATCCTGGAAAGGTGTTAGTTAGTCCATTTTTAGATCTTCTATTTTTTGTTTCAAACGGCAATCGAAAAGGATTTCCTAAAGGGGTTTGGAAAAATATTTTGAAAATTGAATCAGCTAGAAAAATTTAATAGAAAATCAATTTGACCAGACTTTTTTTTCAAAAATTGCGAATGTTGAAATCCTTTTTTTTATTCTTGAAAGAGTCTAGTTGTCTTAAAAATTTTCTGGGGTTTTGGAAAAGTTTCTAAATCATTCAAAAAGATTTTTTAAATATAAAACCAATGTAAGATTTTCAAAAATGCGTTTTTTCGGATTCCTGGAAGCTCATAAAATCATCACATTATCAATATTCCCAATACAACTGAAGCATGTTAAGAAAAATATTTTTGCTCATTTTCTGAGTCTTTTCTCACCTCAACTCCAAACTTTCTGGCCCAAACGTCCAGTTGCTCATCGATTTCAGCGACTGTGATCGTCTTCTCACTGACGATTTTCTTATAAGCGGCCCGAGCTGCCGAATTGTTGAGTTGGGCCACGAAATCTGGCGGAGCGCCGCGCGGTATCCCGGCAACCGCGAGAAATAATGGTGCGATCAGGAAAATCAGCGCCGTTTGATGCATTTTCTGCTGAAAACTGGATAAATCGCTCTAAAATTGTGCATAGTTTAATAAAATAAAGACATTTTCATCTTTTAAACCCAAGCAGAAAATCAGAACTTTTAAAAGTTTTTTTAAACTATGGAATGAGCTTTCCAGCTTTTTTTAAAATTTATCTAGGAAAAAATTACTGAAATCACGGCAATTCCAAACCATAGATGCAACTTTGAACTCTTCTACTATTTGAAAGAATGAAAGAACAATATGGAATATGAACTAAAGCGAAAAAGTGGAAACATTCACACCCAAATGCAAATCGAAGGAAAGCAGCGGGATAATTGGCAGGTGAATGTAAGAAATATCCCTTTTCAAATGAAAAAAAAAGAGACGGGACGCTGAATCAGTAAGAGCACTCTGGGAAAAAAAAAGATGTGATTATGCTTGAGAGAGCTTTAAAAAAACCTGTAACTCTGGGAAAGTTATTTGCAAAAAAAAAGTTCAAGACACTCTGTAATCTAATCTACAGACTTTTATTGAGAAAATGAAAAAAAGGTCACTTAATTTAATGCGAGAAAGAAAAAGAAAAACGCTGAATATTTTTGTAAAAAAAAAGAAAAAATAAATCATACTGTAGACTCTTTTTGGTTCTATACACACGTAGGGTACAAAACGCGCAATTTCACGCGCATCATTTTTTTCAAAATTTTTTTTCCTTTTTTGTTTTTCATTCAGAGTTTTTTCTCTATATACTTTATATGCTTTTTTTTTCTTTATGTACTTCAGTATATTGGAGTTTTTGAGTTTGGTGTTGTAATCGCAGTAAGAGATATTTTCTAGTAGACGAAAATCCCACTTTTTTCAAACTTTCTCATTAAGAAGTTTGAATGAGATTTTTTCAGTTTTCCCTGAACTGCGCATATTTTCTTCGATCCAATTTGTATTCGTTATCATTTTTTTCTTGTCAACTTAAAAATTAAAATTTTTTCGAATATAATATTGAGAGAAATCTAAATTGGCATCCCACAAACTCCCGGCGTTACAAAATTTGAAAGACCTTTGCTAGTAAACGTTGCCAAATTAATAACTTTTGTGAAACGCCGTGAAGTTTCGTTTAACATAAGAATCATTCAAAGTAATGAAGCCGTCGTTTTAGGAAAATTAACATGTGAACTGCAGAAAATGAGAAAAAGAAGACGTGAAGGCCGAGTCGCCGTGAACGGAAGTTTTCGACTCGGCAGTTCCGATTCGACAGCTCACGTCGAATGCTTCCACTGGCCATCTGCAGCTCGTTCGCTGTCGGAGCCGTGCTCCAATGCTCCAAAGGGCGCGAAACGGTCAGCTTCTACTCTGAAATCCACTGAATGAGCCTTCGTTTTACAGGTTCACGATCCGAAAAACAAAAACAACAAATCGGCAAGGGCGGCCAAGTCTTCCAAGTCTGCCAGGGTAAGCAGCCGTAAAGGGCTTCAAGGGGTCACTTGAGTGTACTTAAAAGCCCTGAACACATTGTATTTTGCTGTTATCGTCAAAAATATGATTTCTCCACCCTCTCTTTTCTCAAAGACGCTCTCGTGTTCTCGTGCTCTTTTCTTGTTTCCGTGACCTCTCATGTGAGAGATTGAAGAACATGGGAAAGTCGGACTATGAAGCCGCTTCTCTTTCATGCTTTAGAATGCCGCTGTGCGCAAGTAGTTTCTGGTCGGCCGCACTCAAAAAGTACCGTTTCTTGAACCGCGTCACTATTTTCTACTTCAATCTCACGATCATCTACTCATCGTCCTGATTCAGGCGTCCAAGTCTGCTAAGGGCAGAAGCGGAAAATCTTCCAAGGCCTCGAAGTCCTCCAAGTCGTCCAAGTCGCGCAGCCGCAAGAGCTCCAAATCTTCCAAGGCCTCCAAGAAGGTCTCCTCAACTCCGGAAGCTTTTCCAAAAACTTTCCAGGACCCCAAGGCTGTCCTCGCTTCCACCAAGAGCCTCAAGAAGGATTCGAAGGACAAATCGAAGAAAGGCGCCAAGAAGGAAGAATCGTCGCGCAGGTCAAGTAAATCCAGCAGGTCCAGCAAGGCCCAGAAGGAACAGAAGGAAAGGAAGAGCACCGTTTTTTCCGAGGAGAAGCAGAAGAGCGACTCGACTACCGTTGGTAGGAAATTGGGAATTTTTGAAAATTGGTCATTTTTGAAAATTGGTCATTTTTCTGGAAAGTTGGTAGGACATTTACTTTCATGTGTGATCTGAGAAATTTCAAATTTTCGAAACAGAAACCTGAAAGAGTTTTTTCTACTTATGGCTTCAAACATTTTTTTTTCAAAGAAGAGAAATTTATTAAATTTTAGAAATTGTAGAAAACTTAGAAATTGAGCTTATAAGGTACTGAAATTTAAGTTGTGGTTTCATCGTTTTGAGCCAATTCTGTGTATCAACCGAATATGATGCAGTATAGCCTGTGTACCACGACTTGGAATTTCACCAAACGACATTCCGTTCCGCTGCGCGCCTTTGCGAACCTCGCTTTTAATTTTTTTTTTTCCTATTATTGAGGTCTACTTTCATGTGCCCCCACAGCAGTAATAATCAATTGAAAGCGTGACCTGGATTGGAAAGACGCTTCGCGAACGCACGCAGCGGAACAGCGGAATGTCGTTCCGTGAAATTTCAAATCGTGGCAGACTATAGTTATACTGTAATTGAAAATTTTTTATCGCCGCTCAATTTCTCTCTTTGCTTGAAAATTTGGGAGTTCAATTTGCTTTCCTTTTTTTTGAAAATTTCTTTAAATTAGCTCAAATTTTTATTGGAGGTCGGTCCCGCATAGTGTGCTACTTTGTTAGTTTCAAGCTTCATTTCATAATTACTTTTTCGAGTCTCAAGAAGATGTTTAAGTTCGCCCCAGCAGCAACATGAAGGTGGAGCCGCAAGAGCTTAACTACGAGACGAGGGGAGGCCTCAAAGACGTGGTCGTCGTCAACAACTCGACCCAACGCAAGGCCTTCAAGGTGTCCCTGAAGGGTCTCACCTGAAATTATGAGGAAATTGCAGGTGAAATGCTCGGACAACATGCTGTACCGCGTCAACCAAGTGCACGGCATCGTCGAGCCCGGCTCCGAGTTCAAACTCGAGGTTCTCCGGAACAACGCCGCCGCCAAGACCGACAAGCTCGTCGTCTTGACCACCGACGTTTGTTTTTCTATTGGAGAAGCGCTTTTGAGAAGCTTGTAGAAGAAATTTAGAAAAACTTTTCCTGGGAAAATTTTTAGTGGCCACTATATGGTTTTGACGTTTTAGTGGCCATTATAGTAGTCAAATTAGTGGCCACTATAGAGGTTTTAGTGATACTCCTAGGCAACTGAAAGTTTTAGTGGCCACTTTAGGGGTCAATGTATCAACATAACTGGTCCAATATGTTTGTTTTAAAATTATCAGAGTTACTGGAATATTGGATGAACAACTACTGAAGTGACCACTTAATAGAGAACTTCTATAGTGGCCACTATAGAAGGGAGGTTTAGTGGCCACTTTAGTGTCCTCTCCGAGTAGTCCTTTTCAAATAGTTTTTGGGAAAAGAAAAAGTACTTAAGTAGCTATTTGAGAAAAGCCGAAAAAATAGGTCTTTCAAAAAAAATTTTGTGGAAAGTTATCCTCTCATGTTGCCCTTTTCATTGTTTCAACCATTTTGAATTTTCATTTTTGCTCTCTAATTTTTCCACCGTTGACCTTAAAGGCCCTTGAAATAGGCTTGAAAAGAAACCTTTACCTTTTTCCTGGCATTTTCTAACTTTTTTGACTTTTTCCTATCATTATTTGACTTTTTCCTCCTGCAAACTTGAGGTTCAAGAAACGACAACTTTGTCAGTTTTACCTTTTACTGTATCCCCACAGTAAGACTTGCAGGCCGGGCCGGATGACACGGACGCCCGCGAGGTCTTCACAAGCAAGGACACGCAGGCCCGCGAAATGATGATCGTCCCGCTTTTGGCCCACTGAGCTGCCTTTTTTCCCCTGTTGCCGACCCACCCTTCCACAATTTTACGATTCGACGGAAGGCCTTTCAGCCTATTAAATATTTCCTCGGCGGATTCTCGGTCCTTTTTTCGTCTAAGCGGGAAAGGTTGAAGGAAATCTTGGCTTGATGGTTAGGAAAAGTTTTTGTTTTTATTTTTTTGCCTTCTCAAAATTTTTGAGCCGTTCTTCTTATAGTGTGAAGATTACTGAAAATAATTTTGAATATCAAATTTTAAATATGATTTAATTTGAGAGAAAATTTCGAATTTCCAGTAACGGTGTTTTTGACGACGCCCCGCTTATTTTTCTTTTTCGTAAAATGTTGTGTCGTGTGCATACACCGCGGCGCTCTTGCACATTCCGCGTTCAAAGTAATTTTCGCGAAATTCGAAATCATAACTGAATTTCCTGAAATTCAGTTACATGTTTCACTCTTTGGTGGCTATTTTGAATTTTGCGAAATTGATGCGCCTTTAATATCCCATGTTGTTAACGCGTTTTTCCCATGACGTCACATGGGAACGGCGAGGTTTTGATCACGCCCCCTTCATTTTTGGATTTGAATTTTCTTCTACTAACAAAGACGCCGTGGCAAGTTCAACCACGATGCAATTAAATTATTTATTAGAACCATACTCAATAAAATCACAAAGTGGAAAAATTTCAATTCACACGAATCAATATATCAATCTGCAATAAAATATCAACCGTAGTTTTTCTCTCTAGAAAGTGTTCAATTAAAAATGCAACATGAAAAATTAAAGCAAGGCAAGGAAAAATGCGATAAAACTATGTGCTCTGTAAAACTATTGTTTCTTTTTCTCGGCGGTCGGTTTTCCGGCGGCGTTGGTGCCCCAAATGTCGGCGAAAGCCAAGGTTCCAGCAAAGACGAGAACCGCGCCGAGCCAATGAGTGGCTGTAGAGGGATTGAATGATAGAAGGGGTCAATTTTGAGAAGAAACAATCGAAATTTGAACTTTCGCGGGTATTTTTTGAAATTTTTTTTTTTTATGTCACAACTCTAATTTTAGAAGGTCCACTGAAAAAAATTCTCTCGGTGAAATTTTCAAAATGCTTGAGACGTTTTGGAAGAGGAACAAATGATCTGATTGAGAAGAAAGAAAGAGTTCCTTACGAGTGAAGGGGTTCTTGAAGTAGATGATGGAGACGATGAGGGACAGGAATTTGCGGAGGGTCACGACCAAGGTGACGGTCAACGAGTCGACTCGAGAGTTGAGCTGATAGACGTACTTGATGCACAAGTATCTAGAAGACTTTCCATTTTTATGTGAAGCTAGGCAATTTTCTGAGGGTGGTGTTACTCTTGGAGCAAATAAAAACTCCTACCAAAAGCTAAAAAAATTTCGCAAAAATAAGATGTTTTGTTGAAAATTTACTTTTTGAAAATAATACTCTTTATTCAAAACAGGTCTTCAAATAAAATTAGAAACATTCGCGAATTTATCAAATGTTTAACTCGGGTCAGTTTATCAGTCAGGAAGAGAGAATTCATACCTTTTTTTCAATAGAAAGAAATTCAAAACTCAAAATGAACATTTAAAAGAAGTTCAGTCTACTTTAAGATTTCGACGGTACCTTCACCTAATTTTTCTAGTCGTCTTTAAAATATAAAAAAACGTTCTTCTTAGTTTTTTTTTTTCGCTTAAATTTTTGACTCGAAACTTACTGTAGGATGCAGCTGGCGAAAAGGTCGACCCAAAGCGAAGGAACGGGGAGAAAAGACGAGAGAATGGGGTAAGGCTTACTAGCCTGAAAATATCATAAATAAGGATCGAAAGAGGAAAAAAACCGATAATTTGTCGGCAGCTGAGAGGATATCACCGCCCATGATGAGGAAGAGCGGCAGGGATACGAAATGCTAAAATTCAGAGAAATGGTTCAATTTAGGAGAATGCTGACTTTCTTGACCTTTTTAATTGGGAAAACGTGGTTTTCTTAGGAACCCCAGAGTGGTCACTAGAGTGGTTAGGGAAAAAAAGCCTCTATAATGGACGAAATAGTGTCCCCTAGAGGGCTAAAATTTGGTCGGTCTATGTAGAAATGACCTCTATGTCCATATAGCTCAAGTGGTCCCTATAACGGTATTTTAACTTTGTTCTCATAGGATTTGAAACAGTAAACTATTCTAATCCTCCCCTAGAGCGGCCCCTTAAGGGAAACGTACAAGATTCCCCAAGTTTATCACTCTAGGGACCACTCTGTCGTTTAACAGAAGGTTAAAAAAGTCTTTGAGCTCGGACTCACTGGAATCTTAAAAATACAAAAATTTGGAAATGAAAAAAAAAATTAGAAAACTTTTCAGGACTTACAAAGTTTGTACACGGAGTTGAAATTTTCGGGTTGAATTTCAAAAAAAAAGTTGTTTTTAATGCCCAAAAACTTGAAAAATGTCTCACAGTAATGAACATGGCCTCGTCCGGATGCTTTCCGTAGACCTCGTACATTTGCTGCTGGCAGATCGCCAAGTAGGCAGATGCGAGAAGGGCGAAGGTCAACATTCCGATTCCTTAATTATCACTAGTTCAATAAAAATCAATATTTCCGATTATACCGATGGCCCATTCCTTGTAATGCTTTGAAGCTTCTTCCATCGACAATCCGCTGTTCTGTAAATTCAAAAAGTAAAAAACGAAAAGTCAAAACTGGTTTTAGCAGGCAAGTTCCTCTAGTTTCAAAAACTCTTTGGTTGTTTAGAAAATAATAAGAATGGAAAATTTTATGATTAAAAATGAAATTTTTTAGATTTTAAAACACAATTTCTGACAAAAAGTCGTAAAATGTGGAGCTTTAGAGATTTAGAAGATTTAGGCCAGTCGTGCAACTTTCTTAGGGTTTTATTCTCATGATCTTATAGTTTAAGGACTTCTTTGATTTTTAGAAAGTTTATAGCGGAAATTTGAAGCTTTTCGGATGTTTTTCAGGACGTTTAAGCCTAATTTCTCGGAAAATTCAATGAAGAAGAAACGGATTTAGACCAGTTTTTTCCCTTCGAGATTTGCTGTAGTGTAAAAAACTCTTTAGTTAATGGAAAATATGAAGAATAGAAAATTTTATGATGAAAAATTTCAACTTTGTTATTTTGTTTAAATTTTCAAGCCTGATTTCTATCGAAAGTCTAAAATTAAGCATGAGATTTAGGACAGCTGTTGAAATTTCTCGAAGTAAATTTTTTTGGTTTTTTTAAAAAAATACTTAAAGTTGAAAGTTTCAATGAGAAAAAAAAGCCTAACTTCTTGCTTAAAAATAAGGCCAGCTTGGTAATTTTCCTGGGGTTTCTCCAGGTTCCACTCTTATTTCCAAAAATAAGAGTTTGAAAAAGTGAGATCGTGGTAATGTAATCCTTCGAGCAACCGACCTGGCTGCAGTCAGATTATTTCGAGATCGGCGAACCTTTTCCTGAGAACTCGTGGCCAAGGTGCAGATGATGATTCCGACCGTGATGGCCACCACGGAGACGTACTTTCGCATACTGTACTTCTTGCCGACAAGAAATACTGACAGAAGTAGCGTCGCTAGTAAAGATCCCTGGAGAATTTCCAAATTCAGATGCACGAATCTTCGGGACTCGAAATTTCAAAAGTCAGAGAGCGTTCAAAAATGAGAGGTTCGGGAGTTGTTTTTCTCTGAACGATCTCTTGTTTTCAAGTACTCTCTAGCTCTCGAAGCTCAGCTTGAACTTTCAAAAATGAGAGGGTTCACTATTTCTTTTTCTCTGAACGCTCTCTTGTTTTCAAGTGCTCTCTAATTCTTGAAGATGGGCTCTGACCATCGAAATTGAGAGAGTGTTCAAAAATGAGAGGGCGTAGTTTTTTTTCTCTTAACTATTTTCTCACAGTGCTCTCTAACTTTCAAAAATTTGAATGTATACTTCAAAAAACGTCGCAAACCGATCGGAAAATAATGTGAAGAGGTACAGGAACATGGAAATTCAAGGCCTGGTTATTGACGACGTTGACGATGAAGAACATGCTCACCGTCTTCACGTATCCTCTAGAATTCTTTCCTCATTTTCGGGAAGTTTCAATCTTCTTCCTATCAGTCTCAAACTTCTTCCTATTTGTTTTTTTTTGGTTTGACATTTTTTCAAGCGGGCAACATGATAATTTTTTCATTAATTCAAATCCAATATGAAACACAATAAACGGATTTTTCTCAAAGTAAAACCTGACTATGGACTACTTTTAAAAGGTTTCAAAAATTTTACTTTCCCATCAACTATTCTAAAACTTCGGCGGTTTCAAAAACGGCGTAAAAATTCCAAACTCGTTCAAAAATGATTTCGTGAAATAAGCTAAATTGGAATTTCGAGAAGCGTGAGAAAAATTGGTTCCCAAAGCGAAAGAGCGACTTTGAAGCGGCAAAATTAAAATTTTGGAAATTTTCGGGCATCCTTTAATAAAAATTTCGAATTTTCGCCTAAAAGTATCACGATATATCGTTGTAGGACCCAATTTCTAACGGCCCGCAGAAATTTATTTTTTTCAAATTTCAACGGCTCCCAGAATTGCAATTTCGAACCATTTAAAAAAAAAAAAACGTGTCATTTTGAAACTCTCGTAAAATTACTTTAAAACGGCATGGAAATCAATTCTTAAAATTTTTCTTTATAAAACTAAAAAAACAGCTCACTTTAGGGGTATCTGATTCTTGACGGTGAAAAACTTGGAAGTGAAGAAAAGGCCATGGGTGGCGATGAACAGGAACGTCGAGAAGGTCATCAGATTCATGGCCGAGGGCTCTTGTCTGAACAAAAAAGCCTTGCTTGGTTTTTCAACAGAATTTCAGGCTTTTTCTTTTTCAGGATTTGTCTTTGAGGTGTCCTCATTTAAAAGTAGAAATTTGGGCAGTTGGAGTCTCAGAGTCTTTTTCTGGTAGATCATGAAGCTCTGGCCAATTTCCAGGAAGATCCCAATCAAAAAGTAGAATGACCTTCCTTGTCCGACGACAAAATAGTGGAACAGGAAAATTCAGAAAATGATTCCAATTTATCAAGGTTTTTCTGTTTTTGGTTTTTTTTTCTTCTTTCGAAAAAAAATAAACAAACTTGGCGATGCTCTCCACGAAGACCATGCAGCCCATGCAGCTACCCAGGACGCCGAAAATCGGCCCCACCGCCGAAGTCGCCATCCTCGAAACGAATAAAGTCAGATTCCAATAATAATATCTTTCAAAATCGAATCGAACGAATATAATTGGATACAAACAGCTAAAAATATCACGGACCAACAAAATATGCAAGTAAATATCTCAAAATGAACGGAAAAAATTATTTTATCTTCTCTTTTTTTACGTCCTTGTACGGCACGGCGCCGAAAAAAGTAAAAAGATCTTGACTTGAAAAAAAAAGAATTCAAAAACGAGCCGGATTATTCAGAGCTATAAAATTGATTTCTGCTCGCTTCTCTGGGATCTCTTCAGGCTTCAAGGTCTCTCACTTCCGGGGATTAACGGATATTTTCCAACCTTTTATCGCATAGAAAAAAATCAAAAAAATTAAAACTTCGGAAAAACAGAAACAGACATTTTTTTAGAACCCTGGTTCAAAAAAACATTCAAATTTTTGTTAAACGTATTTTTCCAAAAAAATTCCATCATAACTAAAAAAACATAAGTTTAAAAAAATAAAAGATTCGGAAAAAAACCAAAATTTTTTCAGAATGTTGATTCAAAAGACTTAACATACAAAAAGGATATTTTTTTTGAAAAGTGAAAAAATAAAAGGAAAAACCTCTTGAAATTTTTTTCCTAAAAACTCATTCCAAATTTAAAAACAACAACCTACTGCGACAAAATATTTGAAAATACCTAATCCAAATGTTTCCATCCAACGAAAATAGGTAAATGAATGTTTTGGGCGGCCAAAGAGACAACTAATAGTTAGAAACAGGAACGAGTTGAGAACCTCAAAAAAAAAAAAAGGCGAAAAGAAGGGTCTCGGAGCAAACAAAAGATTCTAACCCATCACACAAACTACAAGGCGAAAACAATCTTTTTGCGTTGGAAAATACGTTTTTCTGATCTCGATTTGAAGAGTACTTGGCACATTGAGAATAGTTACAGTTTTTAAAAAAGGAAGATCTTGAAAAACTAATCAATAATTGAGCAAAGAAACTCGAAAGCTGACCTCTGTACTTTCAGAACGAAGCAAATATTGAGAGTAGACTTGGGAGAAAGAAAAAAGTTCAAATAAAAGAAATAAAGAACAGAGTTTCGAGTTCTCAAACTTCGTTGTTTCCCCTTTGTTGGGAAAATTTTTTAGCCCAACTTTGAACTTTTGATGAATCGTTTTTGAAGTGAACTTCACAACTTTCTGATTCCAAAAAAGGAAAAAAATTTTTCTTAATATCCGGTTTTGGATTTTGAACAAAAGGCGCTTCAAAAGTTAAAAAATAGGGGGTTTTTTTTGTCATAATTTCCTCAAAAGTTCAACCTCAAGGAGTTGAAAAAAGTTCCCTAGATCGTGTAAAAAATTCGATTTCAAACAACGAAATTAAGAATAAATTGAATGAATTCAAACTATGGGAACAATAAATGGTTATAAAAAAAGTTGTGAACTGCCTCAAATCGACAATAATTTATCAATAAAACCAACGAAAAAAAGACCCTTGAAAAATTTTTGAAAATGGTTTTTTTAATTCATGAAAGCCTTTTTTTCATCCAAAAAAAGTGAAAAAATACTGAACCTTTCAATTTTTTTATTAATTATTAGCCGATTAAGGATGAAATCTGAGCAAGCTTCATTTTTTTATTCTTTTTGAAAAAAATATAAGAAAATTTACAAAAAAAGTCTAGAAATATCAGGTTGACCAACTTTGACTGAAATGAACTCTGGAATCTTCGATTTTTCAATAAATCACTCAGAAAGACGTCGACTACAAACTATAAATAAGCGCGAAAAAGTGGCACCAGATGTGGCCAAATTGAAGAAAGAAAATGATTTTTTTCGAGTCAAAACGATTGATTCAACTAAAAAAATAATGAAAAAAAATAAAATCCAGATCTTTCAAAAAGTTTAAAAAAAAACCAATATTCTTCATATTTTGAGCTTTTTTTTATTTTTTTGAACATAAAAAAAAATCTTTTTTTGTATCTTTTATACTCCTTTAACGGACAAATAATAAATCAGGAATAAGAAATTAGCTTGAAATTGCCAAAAAGAAACAAAAAACGCCGTGGTGACGGAATTCCCATCAATACGCATTAAATACGGAGTGATAATCAGAACCTGTTGTGGCGTCGTTTTTCGAACGATTTGCTCGTTTTTATCAATTAAGTGCACATTGTCACGCTAGAAAACACGAAACGCACACAAACTACGAAAAAATTGAATAGTTTCCGAAAAACCAAACTAAAAATATCGTGGAAAATATTCGTCATATCCAATTCACTGCTTTACGAAAAAAATAAAGAGACTTTAAAATTATCTTGAAACGTTTGATTGCAAGCACAATTTTCATAAATTTGAAGGAGCTATATAGCAAAAATATAATGTAAATTTTTTTAGCTGTAAACCTAGGCGCGTATTTTTTTATAAAATTAGGTAAAGAGTAGAAGAGTAAAATTGAATGAATGCAAGGAAGAAAGTATAAGAGAATCAGAGTAGGCGTCTATTTGAAGAATGTAGTTAGATTAAAAAGTTCGAGTACTTTTCTCACTTTTCAGTAACATTTTGAAATTCGACTTAATTAAAAATCTCGTTCACTTTATTCTCATTTAGCCTATGAAAAAATTAAAACAAATATAAAAAATAGTCCATGATCTCCCATTTTGAACCTGATAGGTCAAATAAAAAAATGCATGGAGATCATTCAGACACCGCAGACACAGACTTGGAAGCAGTAAGAACTATTATTTGGAAACTTTAGAAATCAAGAAATCAATAAAAGAGAACAAAAATTCTGTTCGAAAATCCTGATACATTTGATAAAAGTTTCGGGGAAAAAAATCAGATAATTTTTGGTTTATAAAGACTTCAGAACCTCTAAACACATTTAAAAAAATGTTTGAAACAAACGAGAAACTGAAGAATTTTTTTGAAAAAAAGTTTATAACTACTCAAAAAAGCAAAGAATTCTCATAATTTACAACAAAAAACACTGAAAAAACAAAAAGTGAAGATTAGTGAAATTGTATAACGAAAGGCTGGAGTTGAAATCTCTGCCCAACGGTCTAAACGAACGCCGATTTCAACCCCAATAAAAAAAAACGAAGGAAAGCAACGGGATTCACGTGAAAATGACCTTTCAAAGTCTGCCGCCGCAAAAAAAATCGCATCTATAGTAAAACGTGAGTCAAAATGGAATTTAGGTCAAAAAATTGAGCTAGGTGTAGAAAAAAATGTTGAAAAAGTTACTGAGAAACTTTGATTTTTATATAAAATTAAGATTCAAAAAGATTATTGAATGAAAAGGAGGCGTTAAAATCTTCAGAACACTTTTTAAAGTTTAAAAAGCACAAAAAATAGACGACTGGAAAAAAAATTTGCGAAAATTCATGTTCGAAAATCAAGAAAAAAAAATTGAGCGAAGTAAAGAAGTTATTTCTGAAAAATAATCGTCGGAGCGCATAAGATAATCCAAAAGCGCCGTTTTTTTTTTTTGAATCAACGAGTTTTCTTCTATTTGCCTTTTACTACAGTATGGACTTTAAACTTTTTTAAAGCCTCAAATTTATTTTGAAGCGAACCGATATGAAACTTGGAGAATCAACGCCAAATTGGATTCATTCGAAACATCTAATCTTGAAATGAATAACTTTATTCTCTTGTAGAGATCAAACTTTGTGAAACGTAACAAAATATATAATGAGATTGGAGTGAAAAGGTATATCAATATCAAAGTAACAGTGCAGTAAAACAAAAACAAAAAACAAGTCATGTTCAAAAAAATAGTAACGGCGAAAAAAGAGGAACTTTTTGCAGAACATTTTCAATATCCATGATTTTGAATAGAAAAAAGTATGAGTGGCCAATTCAAGAAAGCTTTGACGGACTAAAATTCAAAATATGTGATACCCTAGGAATTCCAACAAAACAAGAACACCGTTTCAAATGGATCACGAGGAAAATGAAACCGGTTAATTTGAGAAAAAATCCGTAGAGAATAAATTATGAGGAAAGAACCGGGTGAATCTTGAACATTTTACCGGTTAGAAACAACTGGAAGTAAGAAAAAGAGAATGATAAATGACAAGGATGAGTAAAATTTATACATTTCGGATAGGTTATATGTAAAAACCTACTTTATAACTGAAAAAAAAAGAAAAAATTGGGAAAAATAGCCAGAGAAAAAAAAGCTTTCAAACTTCTTGTAACCAACAATTTGGGGCAAGTTTGATCGAAAAAAATTGAAAATTTCAAAATAAAGCCGCACGTAGAATGGCTCGATGTTTTAATTTCTTAAAGGCTCACCCGACTAAAAACGGTTCACGCCAAGATGTATTAGACTACGAAAGCATTTTTCATCGAAGTATACGCCTGAACTCACCCGTAAAGCTTGAGCCATTCTAAACGCGACCAATTTTTGAACTTTTCGAGTCACTTGTTAGTTATAAAACGTCAAATTGAGCATTTTTTCCAATTTTTGTTTGAAAACTGCTAGAAAAAAGAGCGAAATTTGCAAAAAATAAAGGAAAGTAAGCGGATATTGCGAGAAGTTGAAAAAGGAAGCGATTAGATAGGTAACAAGACGTCGAAAGTTTCAATTTGAGTCGCCTGAACAGTTGGCATCGCTCCTCGCATGATTTGCTTGTCCAGGACGCTCAAAGGCTGCGGAGTGAAGAATTTCTCTTCAATCTGCAAAAGAAAGGATTTGAATATTCATCCAGGTAACATTCAAATTTTGTTTTGATCCTTAGGGAGGTTAGAGTGAAAGGGAAAAAAGCCCCTACAGTGGACAAAATAGTGCTCCCTAGAGGGCTAAAATTGAGGTGGTTCCTTTAGGGTTTGTGGGTCTGACCCTTAAACTGCTGAAGCTCAAGTGGTCCCTACAGTGGTCTTTCGAATTTCCTAATCTTTTGCTTATTTTTAATATCGTAGATTCAATGAAAAAGTAAATAAATCGCTTCTCAGAAAAAATTTTCTACCAAAAAGGTTTCAGTTGTGAAAAAAACTACAGAAAAAAGACCGCTTGAAGCTTTTAACAAAAAAGGAAGTGTGCTCCACGGCTAACTCTGAAAACTCCGTAAATTTACCCTTCTTGCTTATGAACCAGTTTCTCCTAGCCAAAAAAACTCGCCTCTTTCCATTTCTTGACGACTTTTCGATTCACCGAGCCGTCAGCTTCGAACCGCAGGACAATGTCTGAGAATGCATCAAAGGGTTATTTTTGGGGGAAAGGCCAAGAATCACCGCTGGCGCTGATGCAAGGATATCGGACTTCGCTGATCAGTACGATCCTTCCCAAGGCATTCGAACAGTTGGTTCCGTTGCAACGGATCTGAAGAAATCCCCTCAGGAGGTAAAATACGATGTTTTAAAACGACTGTTTCAATTCAATTATGGACACCATTATGAAGCTTGAGTTTTTCCATTACCTAGAGGCTTGAAAAATCAATTTTTGAATATAATACTCTTTTTTCAGCACCTGGGTACTTGAAAAAAATGCATTTTTTTGAATAGAAATTTTTTTATTAATCAAGTATTGATACTTTTTTTCCAGCCAAAGTGTGCGAGAACTTTTTTTAAACCAATTAAGTAATAGTAACAAGGAAATCCTAGAACTGCTATCTGAAAACTTCACTTTCAAAAAAATTTGAATCTATCTATGCTTTTTTTGGGTTCATTTTCTATTCAACTTTTACAGTTGTAACTTCAAAAATATATTTTTTTTTCGTTTTTCTAGCTGATTTTTTTCGATTATAAAACTTTCAACTAAGCTAAGAGGCTTGAAATTCAAATTTACGAAGTAACTGATTTTCTTTTGTGTTTTTGTTTTTTTTATTGTGCCAGATGAAGATCGTGAACTTTTCGAGTAATTAGAAATTCTTTAAGTTAGAAAATCCTCAAACGCCAGACGAATATTATTCCTTTTTTTTTTAGGAAGCATGAATTTTTAAGAGGTTCCTTTCCCTAGTGGGTCAAGAAATAATCGGGGCACCATTCTAAAAAATTTCCAGCCAAAAGTAAAAAAAATCATCCTTTTTCCTTCCTTCTGAACCTTCAAAGACCCTAAAAAGGCACCTTTCCGACGCTTCCAAAACGCTGATCTCGTTCCAGTTCTGCGGGGCTCAGGTTGAAGGTTCTCACCTACAAATTGCAATCATTAGTCTTTTTATAACTCGAAAAAATGGAACCTTATTCCAAAAGTCGTTTTTGCAGACAACGTACTGCGAGAGAGACTTGCGCACTTCTTGGTTCGTACACAACTTCTTGTTACACTTTCTGGAAAAATTTATAAATTATGAAGCATGTTTTTTGAGATCCAACTAGTTGAATTACTGGAAAAGTCGGTTGTTTTGCTCATTTCGGAGGATTCATTGTAATAATAATTTTAGGGGCGCGCCGTAGCGCAACAGGTTGTGTGCCTGTCTACGGTCCACAGGGTCACGAGTTCGATCCCCGCCTCGACCCAACCAAGGGGTTCAAGAAAAGTTGGTAGTGGGAAACCACAGCTTCATAATCCCCAGCCGTCACACACAAGGGCGGATATGTTACTGGAGCCAGTCCACTGATATCAGGATAGGACCTCGGCTGATCGACTTGGGGCGCCGACGCCGCTCAAGCGGTACAAAGGCGTAGGAAGAAGAAGAAGAAGAAGACTGTAGTAATTCTTTTTGAAATTTTGAAATTTCCCCCTTTTGTCCAAAGAAACTCACTTTTTCAGAATGTTTTTAGTTCTCAATTTCTAAAAAATAATTTAAAATTGAAAACGTCAAAAATCAAGTACTACCAGTACAAAAAGGAATTTTTTGAGTCAATTTTAAACTCTTTTATAGACTTGAATTCCAATTATTTCATGTGAAAAATCGTGGTCAATTAAATCCGAGAACAAATTTTGATGATACAAAAAACAATAGAAAAAAAGACAATCTTTGAAGAATTTAATGTAAAAATAAAAAAAGTTTTCGGAAAATCATATTTCTAAACAATTCATATTGTAGAGAAAAATCCTTCAACCGTTCCCACTTTTATATTAAAATCCCTTCTAATAAAACCTTTCTAACTGACCGAACTTTCCAGGATGCTATGAAAAATGGGTAAAATTGGGGAACTTATGACATTTGACACGAACTTGCAAAGGATTTCGTAGAGAACTCCAGCCTGCGCCTGGCATGCGACTCTCTTTTCCGACTGTTTGTCCTCGAAAAGAATCTCCTCCCACTTTTTGAGCACCAGCTTTTCGACCTGTAAAGAGTGAGGAGCTTTTTAAAGTTCGAAATTGAAGGAAAACCAGGGTTTTTTCATGATTTTTTGAGACACAGAAGGGTTTTAACAACAGCCTTTTAAGTAAATGACTAAATTTCGGCGAAATTCGAAATTTGAAGCATGAAGTCCCCTGAATTTTTTAAAAGAAAGCCCCTATAGACCGTTTTTCGCGGCTTAAACAGGCGGAACTTGTCTGCGCCATCCTGCTCTCTCGGCGAATCTCTCATGTTTACGTGATGTTTTCATGATTCGCTGACCTCGTCGGTGAGAGAACAGAGAGACGCAGACACGCGAAAAGTGTCAAGCCGCGGTGGACGGACTATAGAAAATATTCAAAAAGTCAAGCTTCGGAAAGATTTCCATGATAATTTGAATTGTCGATCAAGTTTTTTAATTTTTTAGCTTTAAATTTTTTCGATTGGTTAAAGATCAGAACCTTTTTTTTGAGTCGAAAGTCATTTTTTTTTTTTTTTCAGCTTCAAAAAAACATTCCCCTTAAAATTCTAATTATCATCTAATCTTCGAAAATTCGTTAGTTTTTTTAATTCTTTTGGTTAGCTAAAGATCATAAAATACTTTTTTGGGAACTGGGGCAGAAAAATCTTGATTTTTTTTTCAAATTTCAAGTTCTCTAAAAATTTCTTAGGTTTCTTATCCCAAAAAAATGTTTTTCGATGTGATTACTCTTTTTCATGTTTTTATCCAAAATTTTCCCGAAAGATATAAAAAATCCAACCTCATTTTCCAGATCAAAATCGCAATTCTGAATGCGAGCGATTGCGGCATTCATTATGTTCTCCTAAAAATCAAAAAAATCGATTGAAGCTTTCGATTTGAAATAAATCAAAACCCTCATTCGATTCTGCTCTTCCTGGGCTTTGAGCTCCTTCTTGTTCGTGATCAGAATGCAACGGGAGCCGATTTCACGACCTCGTCCTGGGGAACAATGATCATCTTCGAATGAATATTCATTTCAGGGAACCTCGTCGCTGGACGTGTGCAATGACGTTCGTCGCATAGTTGTACTTGATGACCAGGTTGCATTTTGCGACGTCGAGGCCTTCCTCGGCCACCGAAGTCGCGATCAAAACTTTCTTTTCGCCCTTTTCAAAACTGAAAAAAAGACTCCTTTTTTTTTAGATTCAGTCGTTCAAAAACAGTTTTTTCGAGTTCAAAAGACTGGGGTAGAATGCAGCCGATGCATGTTCAAAACTTTTTTTCACACAACGATTTTTTTTCCAAATTTCAAAGCCAGTATTTTCCGATATATATACCTTCAGCGATAGGAATTCAAAAGTTAGAGGGAGAAAAAAAAACCTTCAAAATATCTCGAAAAATTCTTCAAGTTGAAAAAATCACCGGTCTTTTGTTACCATTAACTCCTACACCTTCGGCCCCAGATTGATATTTTTTCCCTTTATTTTGGAGGTTTATGTTCTTTTGAACAATAATTTGAAGGGTTTTCATAGTAATAATGAACTTCATTCATATTTCTACTATCTAAAACTCTTTCAAAACCCCTCAAGAAGATGAAAAATGATCTGCCCAATGAAAAACCTTTCGAGGACTTCCTTCTGAGATTGACGCGAGAAAGAGGAAGATTCCGCACTTGACCCTCGGTTGATACCTGAGATCTCTTCTAGGTCTTTCCAAATCTTCGGAAACGAACCGGAAATGCAATCGGCGGAGATTCCATAAATGGCCAACTTTTGGGAGCCGTTCAGGATTCGTTTCAAAATGTTGACGCCTTGTCGGGTTTGGACGAAGATGATGCAACGGAAGTCGCTCTTTTTGAGGTGTTGATCGATCAATTGCCTCAAAAAATAAGTGTAGTGTATACATAGGCATGTGAATAATTATATCATCTTCAATCATCAACATAGTTCATAAAAAGTTGTTCAAGAAACTTCAAATTTTTTTTTTACTTTGCACGACTTTTTTATCCCAGTTTTTGTTCAGAAGAAGAATCCAAGCATCCAGATAAATAAATCAATGTGACTACGCTGAACTGCGTTTCTAGGTTCCCTAAGTGCAAAACAATAAGAACTTCACGCTTTTTTTCTCTCTTTGTCCGAGTTTTTACACTTCAAACACCCGTAAAAGTTCATTTGATTCTGGAGTTTGAGAAAATGTAAAATTTTAACATTTCACGATCAATTTTCTACCAACCTGGAGACCATGGTTTTGGTTCGATTTTTTTTTTTCGGAGAGATCAATTTACGGCCGTTTTTCTAGGAAAATTCGGAATATTACGTCTTTTTTTTCTGCACAATCGCGCTTTATTGAGATATTAGAAGTTTCATTCAATGAATGTGGAAAAACGAACGATTCGAGAGCCCTGAGAATCTCGTTTTCGCTGTTGGAAAGAGAGGACAGTCGATTCTGGAGTCCCTCCCAGATCTGGAGAGCTTCCTGGGTCAGGGTCGCCTTCCTCGCCTCCATCTCCATTTTCAGGACGTTGTAAGCTTCGAGAGAGTTGAAGTCTTCGTCGAGGAGCAGTGTTATGTGGCAAAGCTGAAGATTTTTGAGAATTTTTTCTGATTCTGATAGCTTGTATTTCGGTATATTTTTGAATGAGGCAGGTACAAAAAAATGCCTTTTTTCGCGCTCTGTGGAGCACTTTTGTGGTTTTTTGTTGTGGTTTTTTGTTGTGGTTTTTTGTTTTTTCAAAAATGTTTTCCACTTTTATAAAGGATTTTTTCGCAGCGCTAATTTAAATTTAGAGGCTTCTAAAAAAAATACTGTGTACAAAATTTGAGGGGACTTCGCTTCGAGACCTATGTTTTTGTAGTTTTGTAGAATCATTTACGCTGCGTAAACTGTCTTTTAAATGGCCTCTGATTTCCAATCTGAGCTCAAAGATTGTACTGAAACATGAAAACTGCTCAATTTCACCTTCCAACCTAATTTTGCTCCCACGCAGACCCTTTTTCTCCCCAAAACCTTTTTTAAATGGAACGAATTCCGAAGAGAACGAATTTCGAAGCTCGATAATATTCATCTCCCAAAAACTAGCTCAATCAAAGAAAACGTCCTCCACACGCCTCAAGTTCAGAATAAATCTCACGACGACAAAAAAATACCTTCAATGGTAAAGTATCAATTTGAATTCAGACCAAATTATAGTCCGAGGATTGTGATTTTTTTTTTGAAGCAAAACCCCACAAAAAGCTTCAAAATCAACTTACTCTCAAAATTTCGAAGACTTCGGTGATTCGGGTCTTGACATCTTTTTCCATTTCGACTTCCGGGAGGTACCGTAGCTGGGTATTGACCCATTGTCCGTACTCTGAAACCCGAAATTTGGTACATTTAAAACTGTTTTTTTTTGCGCCAAGGTTTCAAACTTTGAAAAAAAGTTTCTTGAAATATATTTTTTCAAAATTTTCCAATCGATTTTTCTTATATTTTCCAACCAAGCGACCATATGAAGCTTCTTTCAAAAAGTTCATATTTGAATTTTTTTCAAAAAAATTGGTAGCTTTTTTTGAAGCTTAAAAACGTATAAGCGAAAAACATGTCGCTAACTACCAATCATACACCGAAAAGACAAAATTTCGGATTTCGACAATTCAAAAAAAAAAAGTATAAAGTTGTAACTTGGCGCCAAAAAAACATAAAATGATTACAAACGTTGATTATTTTTTTCTCCTTTGGCGGGGCGTCCAAACTTTGCGCGACAGAGCAACTTAGAGAGATACCTGGAAAATATTTAATTTATCAATATTTTTTTCAATTTTTTTAAAAGAAAGCGTCTTTTTGAGAAAAAAACGCTGGGCTGTGTGGGCTGGCCATAGTGTTGAAACGAGATTTGTGGATTTTGGACCTTTTTTTGTCTTGAAATATTCACTCTGGCCGTAATCAAAGTAAATCAAAAAGCCTTTAGACAATGAAAAACATAAATTAATTTGGGAGACTCAGAGATGATTCACAATTTTGGGGGATCATTCCTGCTAATTTCGTGTAAGGTCTTCACTTGAAGTGGCTGCTCTAATTCCAAGTCTTCACCTAGAGCACGGTCTCCGGGGGCTCAGCTACAAGATTCCCTTCATTCTGAGCTCGTCAACGCGCAGAAGAACAAGGCAAAGAACCGTAAGACCATGTTTTCAACATGATCAACTACACGTTTGGACTTCTAGTTCGGCATAGGCGACTTCTATAGCCTGTGTACCACGACTTGGAATTTCACCGAACGACATTCCGCTCTGCCGCTGCGCGCCTTTGCGAACCTTGGTCGCGCTTTTAATTTTTTTTTTTCTTATCAAGGTTCTCCACTTTCCTGTGCTCCCACAGCAATAACGATAAATTGAAAACGTAACTTAGATTCGAAAGACGCTTCGCGACCGCAGCGGAACAGCGGAATGTCGTTCGGTGAAATTTCAAGTCGTGGCACACAAACTGTATAAGGCTTTAAAAGTCTTTTTTTTACAGACTAGTCGATTAAATGAGACTGATTTGAAGTGATAACGGCACAATTTTCCATGAACTATCTCCAGATTCCAACAACTTCAACGACTCACTTTCAATTCTGATGATATCAGCCATCCGCAATTCGAAGTTCTTCATCATGTCGGTCAAAGTGTCGGCGAAATTCCATCCGCTGACAATTTTCGACTTTTTCTCGACTAGTTCACACTCTAAAAAACCAATACCCTCTAAATTTTAAGATAATGTTTTGAAATACCATCAGGAGTATACGGAGAAAAACTGGCGAGTTCTCCCAAATTCCGCCGTACAGTGCTGATTTCCTAAAAAAAAAATGCCCTCATTTCGATTTTTTTTTAGTTTTCTTTCTTTTTTCATTCAATTTTAAGTTCCAAAGCATTCTCTACGCAAAATAAGCAAGAAAAAAAACAGTTTTTTTACAGGTCGCTTTGGGAAACAAAATTTGTTTTTTTCATTTTTCCTGGTCAAAAACTTTCACCATTAGATGGACTGGTAATTGTTTTTTTTCCTGATAGACGTTCCGAAAAAGCAGAAAAAAAAAAAAACACACGAAAATGAAAGACGCGCTTTTGCCATTGAACCGAACTTTAGTCTATTAAATTTTAAAAAATTCAAAATTTCTGAACGAAAACATTTCACTGAGTTGACTGAAAAAAAAAATAATAGACATATGTTCCCAAACTCTCCCTACATCTATTTCGTGAAATTTAGTACTTGTGTGTGAGAAATAAAAACATTTTTGATTTTTGATTTGATTTGATTGAGTTATGCGGACCTTTTTTTACACGAAACAAATTAAGAAAAAATTTTTTGATTCTCATACCTAAAAAAATAAATTTTTTTAAAAAAAGGGATTATCGATTAAATACCAAATGAACACAAAAAAATTATCTAAAAAAATTTAAACTTTTTCTAATTTTTGCAAGCCATTGTCCACAGAAAAAAAGTAAAAACTAACTGAAAAACTCGGAAATTTTCTCAAGACCCATTCAAAACTTTGATATTTTATTAAAACCAATTTTCACCTTGCAATCCATGTTGGCGCATATTCTCGCGATGAATTCGCAGGCTTGAATGTCACTTTTCGCATTCCCAACGCCCAGGGACGCCGTCAGACCGACGATCTGGAGAAAAGTTTTATTTTTCAATGTTCAGTTGTTGGATCAGAGAGCTATTTACAAAAAAGTTTAATATTTAAAAAAAAGAAAATTTTTTTTTGGAACTCCTCCTGAATTTTTAGCTAAAATAGGTTGGTTATTAGAGTGCTCACTATAGGGATAACGAAACTTCTTAAGAGAAATCTCAATAGAACTCAATCATTTCTTTTCGAAGGAACTGCGAAAATTTTTAGTGGTCACTCTAGGGTTTTGACGTTTTAGTGGCCACTATAGTAATCCAATTAGTGGGCACTTAAGGGGTTAAAAGTAAGTGGCCTCTATAGAGGTCCAAGTGCTTCTACTAGACCACTAAAAATTTTAGTGGCCACTTTAGGGGCAATGGATCAAAATAACTGTTCCAATCTGTTTGTTTTAAATCAGAGTTACTGGAAGGAATACTAAATGAAAAACTACTAAAGTGGCCACTAAATATAGAACCTCTATGGTGGCCACTAAAACGGAGATTAGTGGCCACTATAGAGGTGGGTTTAGTGGCCTCTTTAGTGTCCTCTCCAAGTAGTCCTTGGCGAGCATCTATAGTGGCCACTAAAATTTATTTCCAGAAAGATGAGAAAGATAAAACTTTTTCCCAAATCTTCAGCGTTTTCCAAAACTTCTAGCTGATTTGGAGTTAAAGAACGCCTGTTCTCTCAATGAATTCTTTTTTTTTTGAGCTCTATCACGAACCTGTGGAAGAACATGTCCTTCCGGCACCACTTTGTTCTTGATTTCGTGATAAAATCGCATCAGCACTGAAAATGAAGCGATAAGAATCGAAAAAGAAAGATTTCAACGGACTGGAGTATGGTTCTTTCTTCTGAGTCCGGTGACATTCGTCGAAAACGATGAGGCTGAACGTTGAGATGTAGAATACTTCACTTGGCTTCTGAAAATGATTGGAGACATATTACAATGTCAAAAGCTTTTTTTTGTGCTTTTTATGGTTGAAATTTTAAATTCGAGTTTTCAGGTCAGTGGGCAAAGTTGGAAGTGTCGAAAAAGGCTCGATAAAAATGCCCCTTTTATGGGGAAAAAGCTACCTTTTTTGCGCTTTTTGTACCATTTAATCGGCTCTTCTGCACCATTTTTGCTGTCTCTCCCCTTTTCCACCATTTCTCGACCCTTCAAAAGAAAAAACAGAAGGCTCGAAAAAGGGACTATTTTAGCTGCCTTTTTGCTACCTTTTTGCTGCCTTTTTACGGCCTTTTTGGAGCCTCTTCATCTTCATGGTCATTTACCACTATCCCGGCTTTTCCCGATCCTTTTGAAACGTGTACTTCTTTTTCGATTTTTTCGATTTCAGAGTGAAGAAATTTGGAAAAAAAAACCGCTAAGTACTTTTTATGACAACTTTATGAAGGATATATGGGATAATTTTCAAAAAACAAAATGAAAAATCTCCGTTTTCTCATACAATTGGCTTTTTTTAAAGTTAAACATTCCTCATCATTATTGTTTTTGGTTAAAAAAATATACAAAAATTAAAAAAATTGAATCAGGGGAAAATATAATATTTAAAAAGTTATAAAATCTTTTTAAAAAAATCCGCTAAAAAAAACTTTATGCGATATTGTCTCTCATATATTTGAAAAGATCACTTCAAATTAAATTACTTTTTTTAATTTAAATTTGCCAAAAATCTTTGGTATCCAGTGTTTACCGGCAGAGATTATCACTTAAAACAATTTTGAAACTTCGAAATTCCGCTCAAAATGCTCCATTTCGTAAATTTCAAAGCTTTCTTTCCACAAAATTTGTTCCATTCTTTTTTTGAAACTAACCCCGAGAGAGTCCGATACAGTAGGTTCGCAGAGATTTCTGAAAAAAGACATCTATAAGGCAGAAAATCAAGACCGAAACAAACACGATCATTTGAGGTGTTGACAGGACCAAATCGTGGGATTTGATGACTTCCAAAACTGGCGAATTGGCGGCGCCTTGGATTGTCGAAGTCTGCAAGGCGTCCTTTGTTCTTTTTGAAGTTTTTTTGAAAGAAGAGCAGAAAATTGAAAGATTTAAAGAAAAAGAAATGAAAACTAAACCCTGTAACGATGCTTCAAATATTTTTCCTATATTGTCCGCCTGCTGCTGAAGGATCACACTGTTCGGGGTCATGAAAAGGACCTGAAAAAAATTCAGATAAACTTGCGAAGAAAAGATAGAACGGAGCTCCTACAACTGGAAAAACAAATTGATCTATAAAACTTACAAAAATTAAAGATCTCCCTGTAAAAAAATTCTGAATTTTTCTCTTTCTTTCAGTTTAAATCTACACAAACCTGCATTTAATTTCCTTGATATTACTATAAAATTTCAATTTATTTCATATAAAAAAATTAAACTAAACTAGCAGAAAAATGAGACCTAACTGGAAAAAGGACCTGGAAAATTCGGAAAAAAACGAAAAAATGGTGAAACTAAAAGTGAAACATTTTTTTATTTATAACGAAAATGGGCCATCAAAGAGCAATTTACAAAATAAAGCTTTCCGTCTGAAAAATTCTAAAGTTTCTGGTTTTTTTAGCTTGGAAAATACACAATTATCCTGCCTTCAAATTCTTTTTATTTTTTTCTATTTTTTTGAAATTCACAATATTTTTAGATTTTTCACAGGCGTTCAACCAAGCTGTGAAAATGCGGTCATTTCTAAATTCAGCATTGTTGAAAACAAAAAAAGAATTTAAAAAAATTTTTTTCTTTGGTAGTATATTTTTAACGAAAAATGGAGTGAGGAAAAAAATTGGAGACTTTAAAAAAACGCAGAATAGAAGGTCTAGATAACATTCAAAAACTCAAAAAAATTAAACTTTTTAGGAAGAAAAATTTCGAAAAAAATTGATTTTTTTATTTCTCAAATAGCGTTATAAGCTTCATTGTAAACTTTTTTTAAAAAGAATTCTTTCATTTCTCAACAAAAAAATTCGAATTTCCCAATCAAAACCTTGGCTCTTCTTCCTTCGGATCGAGCAAAATCCAAATGGCTTTTGATGATTTTCGCTGCGACGACCGTTTTTTTCCGGAGCCTGAAGAAATAAATTACAATTTTTCTCCTAGAGATCCGATTTCTCACCAGTCGGAGCGCAAATGACTGTATTAAGGCCGCCGAGAGCTTTTTTTCACACAATTCCTTCTGATATTCTCTCAAACGAATCGGGATTTCTAGACAAAATTTGAAGTTTTTTTGTGATAAAAGAAAATTAACCTTCCTGCGAATTATTTTTCGACGGAAAGCAACAAATCTCGTTCATAATTGTCGCGTTCCGGGATTCCTTCCCAATTGAAATCGATCTCGCTGAAATTTCTTGGTATATACGTTTTTTTGCTTTCGTAAACTTCCAACTGAATGAGAAAATGATGAATCTTTCCATGGTTAATTGATTCGGAAAGAACTTCTACAGTGTCGTCATACGAAAAAAACATTTTTTTGCTAAGAACTTCTTCGTATGGAGCTCTATCTTTTTGAAACTCTATAAATCTGCATCTACGAACTGGATTTATATAGAATTTCACGAATAACGGTAATCAAAACATCAGAAAATTTCAGAAATATTGAATTTTTCCCCAAGAAAGTTATGCTCAAAAAAAGCGTTTACATTTTTTTATTTTTTTAACGGAACTGCATCTGAAAAAAATCAAGCCTTTACCATGAATTTGTGCCAAAAATTTTCTATCAAGAAAAAATGAACTAGCGAAATTTCGCGAAACTTTTATAACTTTTTGGGATTGGAGTGAAAACTGAGTTCAACCAAAGGTTTCAATAAATTATATTTTCAGCTGCTATTATTCGAACTGTACATAAAAAACTTGATCGAAGCTTCAAAAAGAATTTCTTGGAATAAAAAAAAAAACCGTAAATTTTAGAAATTTAAGTAAACTTTCTAATGAGGTTCGAGAACTTATCTATGCAAAAAAATGAAAAAAATTTATTGATTGGGATTATTTAAAAAAAGGTATTTTTTTCAAGTTTCTACGCTTCAAAAATCTGGAATTAAGGTGCTCAACTGAGTCAAACGAGAAAAATAATTATTATTCTAGAAATCGTCAATTTTTTTATTACTAAAACTCGGTTTTTTACAGTGACTTTCTTCTCTGAGAAGGGAAATTTCAAGGTATAAATCAATTTTTCTTAAAAAGATGAATATACGACACCTATAACGCGGATTCAGGCTCGTAGTGCCCAGATCGAGATGTCGCATGAAATCCGTCATTGATTCCTCCACAGGACAATAATAAATCCGTCGGGGGAAATCCCTGTTCATGGCAGAGTTTACCTGGAAAAAAAGGCGTAAGTCTTTGAAAATAGCAAAAAAATATTAATTTCAAATTGAAGCTATAAGGCACTAAATGCAATTCAAATAAGTTTGATCTGAATTTTTCAATGATATATATACCCAAATTGTACTATTCTTGCAATTTAAGCAATAAAATGATACACAGAAGCAAAAAAATAAGCTTGACCTGATTTTTTTCAACAATTTATATACCCAACTTGCGCTATTTTTTTCGAATTTGAAGAGATGAAATATTGAAAATTTCTTAGGTCTAAAAAAACGTTTTAAAAGCTCGAATAATCTCAAAAATTCACGCCAAAAAAACTTGCAAATTTTTGAAATAAAACCTAAAAAGATTTTTTTCCTCCAATCGAAAGTGATAAAAAAATGAAATTGATTGAATTTTTCTTTCTAATACTAAAAAAACTTACTGTAATATCTGGCAAAGTTAGGGAAAAATCCTCTCCACGAAATCGGATCCTTCGGCGGTTTCTTCATAAATCACTTTGAGGATATCAAAAACGGCCATGACTCCGAGTCGCGGGATCGTTTTCAACAAGGTTTTTCTTGTTCGCTTCCGGACTTTCAACGTCTGAAATTGATTATATTTATTATCCTTTATTCGAATTTTTTTCGTCCTTTTTTTGTTTAAAAAAATCAATGACAAATTTCCAAAAAGTTTGTTTTTTTATTAATAACAATAAAGGTGGAGTAACTTTCTTCAGCGGTTTTTTTCTTTCTCGCAGAAATTCTTATGATCGATCCAGCGGAAAACCGAATATGAAACAGGAAAGCTAGAAAAGGAAAAATTTCAAACTGAAACTCTGATTTTCAAGATCTAACTGCAATTCATTCGAAATATGAATAATAGTAAACAATTTTCCTTTATTAAACTCAAAACCTACTCAAGTGAAAGTTATTTTCCAGCGCCGCCACGATCTGCGTGTATTTGCTGAACAATTTCAAGTACTGAATCGTCTTTTTAACGTTCAAATGCTGCATGAACTCGTCGTAATACATCAAAACGGCGCTGAAAGAAAAAATCGGTACAATTGCAAAGGGAAAATAATTCCAACTTGAACTGACTGCGACGGTTGTCGTCCGCAGATAGGGCGAACCATTTGAGCAAATCAGAATTTGGATCTAGAGATTTTTGCATTTAAAAAAAGCCATTTCTTATATCAATTCCAACAAGAACGGAAAAAAAACCTTGAAGCTTCAAAAAATTCAGAAGAGCATCATAAAGACGATTTTTCAACGGAGATTCTCTCAGAGAATTCAGCAACTTGACACAAAAATCGTCGGGTCCGTCGGCCTCATCAGCGATTTTCGAGATCTCGCCGCTTGGCAGGAACTCTTTCAAACAGCCAACCTAGAAATTGATTGAACACATCAATTTTTCAAATGAAAATTTACGTTTTCCTGAGAAGAATAAAGAGGTCGCAGGTGATTTTCCAACTCTCGCTGATAGAGCGAAATCATCGCCAACATTTGTGGCGGTTTCAACTTCATGACGCTGAAATAATCATCTCGGCTGATAAGCTTTTCATGAAAACAATAAAATGCGATAAGAGTAACCGTTCAAATAAGAAACACGTAATACCGAAAATACACGGAAACACCTCGAAATAATGATAGAAAACTCGAAATGATTATATAACTTAAAATATCATCATTACAACATAAATCAAGTGGGAGCGAGGTACTGGGAAAAACAAAAAAAGAAAAATTTTGACATTGAAAAGCTAAAATCAATCAAAAAATGCACTCCGTCAGTTAATGAATAGGATGCGCGATAATTTTTCTAAGTTCTTCGGCTTCTCATTAAGTGTATTTAAAAGCGATTTTCTACAGTTCATGAGCCTGAATTAAACCGGGAAGGAGGTGAAAAGAAAGTGAACATGGGACAAAGGAAGTCCTGAAAAATGATTCGAAAAAAAGATACTGTAAAAATTAAAAAGAGGCACCGCTACACGGATCAGAAAACAATCAATAATGCCGTGTTCAAAGTAATTTCCGCGAAATGCAAAATGGTCTCTGTCCCTCCAAAATTTAGTTATCTTTCTCTTTCTCTGACGGCTATTTTGAATTTCGCGGAATCACTTTGAACACGGCATAAGATTTGAATTTTAACGAAAATTCAAATAACGCCCATAAATTATTAATTTTCGATGGAGCACAAAAAAAAGCCATTGTATTTTATAGGCGATTGCACCGGTCGCATTTTTTAAACGCCCGCACTTTGTAGCATGCCGGAAAAGAAACACGGCGTTCTTTTGACGACGCCCCTCCCACAATTTCCGTAATATTTGAGGTGTTTGGTGCATACACAGAACGACGCTAACTCGCATACTCATTAAGTTCGAAAATAATTTTTTTCTTCGAATTCGAAAGAAATTTTTCGCGAAAAATAGCGTTTTTTCAAAACTATGGACGTGAAAAAAATCGATCCTTTCACAATTCCTTTTCTAGTTGACAAAAAACATTTGGGTGGAAGTTTTGCTTATTTTTTGAACACTTTTATTCCTTTTCATCCTCAAACTTAGTTAAAGTCCTTCTTTTCAGTGAAAAACGTGGAATTTCGTGCTGAAAATGACTTATTGTGGTTCTATGTGTCTTTTCCCACTCATTAAAAATTTAAAAAAAAGTTTTCTTTACAGATTTGGTTTAGTTCATCCACCTAGTGGTATTTTTTCTCCCCTGCAACATCGCCATACCATTCTGATGTTGCGAAATTGAAGAGATTGATTGATTCGAATAAAAAATTTAATTTGACACTGAAAATGTTGCAACGTTGCTGAAAGGCTTTTTTTTTGCTTTAAAGGGGAAATTTTGTCAAAACCCAGCAGTTAAAATTGAAAATTGAAAAAAAAAGTTCCTTCGCATTTTGCTGTCGCAATAAAAAATAATTACCCTAAATCAGAACGAAACAGACAAAGATACAACTGAAATAAACATGAAAAAATCACCTGAAGCACTTGTACAACAAGGAATTCAAACGTTCGCGCGCAAGCTGTCTACCGTAAATCTAGGTGGAGCAACGTTTCGAAGCCGCTCCGTATTTTCAAAATTTTTACATTTTCTTCCACTACGCAGAACGCCGTTCAAAGTATGAAAAGAAACCAGTACCACTAAGAATAACTGCCGAGATAAACGCGAGACACTGGCGGTACATTGACGAGCTCGCAAACATCTCGCATTTTTTCTCGCGCCGGTTTCGCATTTGTTTGGGCGCGAGCTCGCATTTTTCTAGGCGCGAGCTCGCATTTCTCTCGCAATTTGAAAATTTCCGAAATGCAAGATAAATGCGAGATGGCGCCGAGACAAATGCGAGGTCGCGCCGAGATAAATGCGGGATCGCGCCTAGAAAAAAGCGACATTTTTGCGAGTTAGTCAATGTACCGCCACCGAGCTCGCATTTATCTCGTCAGTTAGGCGCAGGCTTGGCCTGCGCCCTATTTAGGGACAGGATTATTCTTAGTGTACGGTTTTGTTTTTTAACAGTCGTCGGTTGAGGTGCAATCGGTTCCCTGGCCCCATACGCCTAAATGCATACCCTGAAAATCAAATCTCCAATAACAACTCACAGTGTTCCAAAAGAGACGGCGGCAGGCGAAAAAAAAAAGTCGTCGCAATGGGGCGAAAACGCGAGTTTTTTCTAACGCAACGCGGTGCGGCGCATGTCACCCCCACAAAATTTCATTCACTTTTAATACGGTTTTTTCTCTTTTTCTTGCGTATTTTACCATTCTTACGTATTTTTTTACGTTGTATGTGTTCTTAAAACGTGTTTATCGCGTTTTCCAGAGATTTGAAGTGATTTTCGATTGTTCTCGTCACAGAAATTCGCATTAAAATGACATTTTTGATGACAACTTATTTCGCGTAAGATATTTCGTTTGTTTTTTGTTTTAGAGTTTTCAAATGGACTTTCTTAAGAGAAATGTGAGATTTTTCTCAAAATTTTTTTTTCGAGGCAGTATTCGACGAATTTATTCTTGAAAATGTCATTTTGGGTGACAACTTTATTCGTACAAGCTATTATATATCTGTTTTTTTGTTTTTAAAACGTCCAAAGGGTATTTCTTAAGAGAAGTGCTTTGAGCTTTTTTTCTCAATTTTTCCCTTTGGAAGTTCGATTTGACGAGTTTTCCTAAAAAAACGACATTTTTGGGAGATATTTTGTTTTTGCAAAAAAACTTTTTTTCGTATCTTTCTTCATTTAAATTTGTTCGTTATAATTTAATACACATTAAAAAAATCTTTGAAAACTTGCGAGAACCTAGGAAAAACATCATTTAATGGTCTTTTTCCAACCACTAAATCCACAAAACTTGACTCTCATCCCCGCGCACCTATTGCAATAAACCGTGCCGCTGTTGCAGTCAGCCACGCCTACTGACCACAGCTGCCGCTCGTTTGGGAACACAGTTGCAACTTTTAATATCAATATCATAGCATTATGACGCGAAGAATGTGTACAGAGTATTTCCGCGAAATCTAAAGTACATAATCGTCAGACAAAAAGACAACTACATCTTTGAGAGTCAGAGGTGAACAGGGCGTTCATAATAACCTCTTCTCTGGAAAATTATGTTATATCACTCCATTAGGCGCAGACTTGTTCTGCGCCATTTGGGTTTAGGATGAGCTGGAAAAAAAAGGGCGTTTCGTTAACTTTTTCTCTTAATCGAATATGTTGTAAAACACAATTTTTAGGATTTTTTGAACACAAAACCGAATATCCTCATTCGGCTAGTTTTCGAAATACGGTAGCTCAAACGAATACGGTGAAAAGCTTCGAAAACCTATATCTCGACAAAAAATCAAAGAATCTTGATCAAAGTTTGTAATAAGGTACAAAATAATTTTATGCAATTTATAAAAATCTAATCACTAATGCTTGCTCATTATTGCTCATATTAAAGGATTTTTCTCATAAAAAAAAAAATCGAAACCAGTATATGACGTTGCGGTCCGGCGTTTTGTCTTGTTTCTATCGAAACCACAAAAAAATACTGTATCTATTGAGCCAAACATGGATTCGGCGAATTTTCTATCTAAGACCCAAAAATTCCAAAAAACAGGTAATTTTGGGTAAGTTTCCCGAATAATTTTTTTATCTTTCGTTTTTTTGGCTCGAAACTAACAAAATCCTAATCAGCACGCATTTTTATATCTACTAGATCATTTCCAGATCGAAACAAAAGAAAAAATTTTTTCACCCAAAAAAATTCTATGTCCGGGAACCGAAAAATTTTGTATGCCCTGGGATGGAAATTTTTGAGGTTTTTCGCTCATAACTTTTATCGAGATCAAAGTATCTGGTCGAAACAAAATTTTTTGTCTGTAAGCGAATGTTGTCCTTCGTCCCTGGGATACACCCTCGCGCAGGACGCCAGTCAGTGCTGAACGAATTCGGAAAAATTTCGGAATTTCTCAGTTTTCAATTTTTTTTTTTTTATAGAAAGAGTTCGTGTAAAAGAGCAAACAGACATGGCTTCTAGAAATACACAAAAAAATAAAAGTGAATTTCTTCTCAAGCCAACTCTTCAAAATTATAAAAGCAACTCAGAAACTTCAAACTCCTTAAAAAAACTTGAAAAATTATTATATTTGGATGGAAAACAAAAAGCAAAAAAAGCTTACGGCAAGCCGAATTCCCAAGCCGTCTCCGATCCAAGTACTACCGGCTCTCAACGTTGCTTAACTTGCCAGATCGGACGGGATGACGTGTTTTCAACGTGATGTGGTCGTAAGCGAATGCTGTCCTTCGTCCCTGGAATACACCTTTGCGCAGGACGCCAGTCAGTGCTGAACGAGTTCGGAAATATTCGGAACTTTTTATTTTTCAATTTTTTTTTTGTTTTTATAGAAAGAGTTCGTGTAAAAGAGCAAACAGACATGGCTTCTAGAAATACACAAAAAAATAAAAAGTGAATTTCTTCTCAAGCCAACTCTTCAAAATTATAAAGCAACTCAGAAACTTCAAACTCCTTAAAAAAACTTGAAAATTATTATATTTTGGATGGAAAAACAAAAGCAAAAAAAGCTTACGGCAAGCCGAATTCCCAAGCCGTCTCCGATCCAAGTACTACCGGCTCTCAACGTTGCTTAACTTGCCAGATCGGACGGGATGACGTGTTTTTCAACGTGATGTGGTCGTAAGCGAATGCTGTCCTTCGTCCCTGGAATACACCTTTGCGCAGGACGCCAGTCAGTGCTGAACGAGTTCGGAAATATTCGGAACTTTTTTTATTTTTTTCAATTTTTTTGTTTTTATAGAAAGAGTTCGTGTAAAAGAGCAAACAGACATGGCTTCTAGAAATACACAAAAAAATAAAAGTGAATTTCTTCTCAAGCCAACTCTTCAAAATTATAAAGCAACTCAGAAACTTCAAACTCCTTAAAAAAACTTGAAAATTATTATATTTGGATGGAAAACAAAAGCAAAAAGCTTACGGCAAGCCGAATTCCCAAGCCGTCTCCGATCCAAGTACTACCGGCTCTCAACGTTGCTTAACTTGCCAGATCGGACGGGATGACGTGTTTTCAACGTGATGTGGTCGTAAGCGAATGCTGTCCTTCGTCCCTGGAATACACCTTTGCGCAGGACGCCAGTCAGTGCTGAACGAGTTCGGAAATATTCGGAACTTTTTTTATTTTTTTCAACTTTTTTTCATGTTTGCAGAAAAAAAGTGTTGCAGAAAGCCCAAACAGAAGTGAGTCTCTAGAAATACACAAAAAAATAAAAGTGAATTTCTTCTCAAGCCAACTCTTCAAAATTATAAAGCAACTCAGAAACTTCAAACTCCTTAAAAACTTGAAAATTATTATATTTGGATGGAAAACAAAAGCAAAAAGCTTACGGCAAGCCGAATTCCCAAGCCGTCTCCGATCCAAGTACTACCGGCTCTCAACGTTGCTTAACTTGCCAGATCGGACGGGATGGCGTGTTTTTCAACGTGATGTGGTCGTAAGCGAATGCTGTCCTTCGTCCCTGGAATACACCCTCGCGCAGGACGCCAGTCAGTGCTGAACGAGTTCGGAAATATTCGGAACTTTTTTTATTTTTTTCAATTTTTGGTTTCATAGAAAGAGTTCGTGTAAAAGAGCAAACAGACATGGCTTCTAGAAATACACAAAAAAATAAAAGTGAATTTCTTCTCAAGCCAACTCTTCAAAATTATAAAAGCAACTCAGAAACTTCAGACTCCTTAAAAAAACTTGTAATTTAATATTTTTGGATGGAAAAGAAAAGCAAAAAGCTTACGGCAAGCCGAATTCCCAAGCCGTCTCCGATCCAAGTACTACCGGCTCTCAACGTTGCTTAACTTGCCAGATCGGACGGGATGGCGTGTTTTCAACGTGATGTGGTCGTAAGCGAATGCTGTCCTTCGTCCCTGGAATACACCCTCGCGCAGGACGCCAGTCAGTGCTGAACAAGTTCGGAAATATTCGGAACTTTTTATTTTTCAACTTTTTTTCATGTTTGCAGAAGAAGTGTTGCAGAAGCCCAAACAGAAGTGAGTCTCCAGAAATACAGAAAAAGATGAATAAAAAGATAAATTTCTTCTCAAATCAACTCTTCAAAATTATAAAGTTACTCAGAAACTTCAGTCTCCTTAAAAAAACTTGAAAAATTAATGTTTTTTTGTATGGAAAAAGAAAAAGCAAAAAGCTTACGGCAAGCCGAATTCCCAAGCCGTCTCCGATCCAAGTACTACCGGCTCTCAACGTTGCTTAACTTGCCAGATCGGACGGGATGACGTGTTTTCAACGTGATGTGGTCGTAAGCGAATGCTGTCCTTCGTCCCTGGAATACACCTTTGCGCAGGACGCCAGTCAGTGCTGAACGAGTTCGGAAATATTCGGAACTTTTTTATTTTTTTCAATGGTTTCATAGAAAGAGTTCGTGTAAAAGAGCAAACAGACATGGCTTCTAGAAATACACAAAAAAATAAAAGTGAATTTCTTCTCAAGCCAACTCTTCAAAATTATAAAGCAACTCAGAAACTTCAGACTCCTTAAAAACTTGTAATTTGATATTTTTGGATGGAAAAGAAAAGCAAAAAGCTTACGGCAAGCCGAATTCCCAAGCCGTCTCCGATCCAAGTACTACCGGCTCTCAACGTTGCTTAACTTGCCAGATCGGACGGGATGGCGTGTTTTTCAACGTGATGTGGTCGTAAGCGAATG